ACATGCACACCTGGCCCAGCTCACAGACACACCCGGCCCAGCTCACATGCACACCTGGCCCATCTCACAGGCACACCTGGCTCAGCTCACAGGCACATGTGGCCCAGCTCACAGGCACACCCGGCCCAGCTCACAGGCACACCCGGCCCAGCTCACAGGCACACCTGGCCCATCTCACAGGCACACCTGGCTCAGCTCACAGGCACATGTGGCTCAGCTCACATGCACACCTGGCCCAGCTCACAGGCACACCCGGCCCATCTCACATGCACACCTGGCCCATCTCACAGGCACACCTGGCTCAGCTCACAGGCACATGTGGCCCAGCTCACAGGCACACCCGGGCCAGCTCACAGGCACACCCGGCCCATCTCACAGGCACACCCGGCCCATCTCACAGGCACACCCGGCCCAGCTCACAGGCACACCTGGCCCAGCTCACAGGCACACCTGGCCCTGTTGCAGGCACATCGCTAACATGGATTCCCAGCCCTCCTGGCCGGGGGCACTGTGGGCTGATGTCACGCAGAAGCTGTGACTGTGGCATATAGGGTCTGTCCTGGGTCACCTTTTCTATAGGTTTTTCAGATAGTCACGTCTTAAGGGCGTTGCCAGGGAGAATCATTCTGGAGACACAGGCCTCGTGGCGCCTTTTTGGGGTGCGGACAGCCTGTGAGGGGCTGGTGGGCCCAGGGGATCACGTGGTGTCTGAAGACAGCTGGGCCCCCGTGGTGGGATGGTCCCTGGAGCCTGGTGGACACTCTGGGGCAGGCGTCCCCAGGTCCGCCCGTCCTGCATCTCCTTCCACTCTGGTCTGTGAGCCCACCTTGCAGCTGCCCTGCCCTCTCCAAACCCTCATTTGAAAATGCAAATCCGGTAATGCAGTCCATCCCCATACCCGCCGTGAATCCCTCACCAGTTCCCGACTCCGGAGCCCGCGGGGTCAGCCGTGCCTCAGCAGGGCCTGGCCAGGTGACACTCACACAGTTCCCTCCACCTCACCTGCCCACCCACCTGTTCCTCCTACCCCTGGCCCGGGTGCCACCGCGGGGACCAGCTGCTGACAAGCGTCACGTGGAGGGAGCAGGGCCGGAGCCCGCGGGGCCTCCGGTTTGCGCGTCCACAGCCAGCCACAGCGATGCCTGGTCACGAGGTGCAGGCCCACACGTGGTTACTGTTCGTCCTTGATGGCTCCAACATCGGCTGTGTTATTTCTGCTCCCCCCACCGTCCTGCTTCTCCCCACAACAGGAAGTCACCTTGGAGAGCTTCCCATCTGCGTGTAGGGTCTCACTCCTGTTGTTTTTGTTAAAGTAATTTTCAAGTTCCTTTATTAAGCTACAAACGTGGAGCCCAGGATGGAGAGCTGGCTCCTGGAGCTCATCACCACATCCCCAGTCATGTCCCCCTGCCCTGAGCCCCGGGGTCCTGGACTGTCCTCACCAGCCACTGAGCCTCTTGAGCTGCACTGCCTTTTCTGTTTGGGGAACTTGTAGGTCCTGAGTTCAGCAGGGCCCTGCTCGGGACCCCCACAATGCCAGGTTGCCTACTTCCCCCCGCTGACCACTAGCCGTGACTCTGGGGGTGGGCGTTGGTGCTCAGCTCCCGGCTCCCCGGAGCTGCTGGAGGTGGAGGGGTCTTCTCAGCCCCGTGGGGACCCGGGCTCAGCTTTGGGCATTCACTGGGCTCCTGACGCCATCAGCCAACGCCCCAACGTGAGCCCCCCTACCCTGGGCCCGGGCCGCAGCCCCGCTCGGCCCTCGGAGTCTCCACAGACCCCTGCTCTCGCCTGGGGCTTCCCTCTCCTACTAGCAGCCTGTTCGGCCCCCTGGGTGGGGGGCACCCTGGTCAGCAGACCGGGCCCTGAGGTGGGCGCAGCAGCGTGACCGTTCTGGATCCCTTCCCCGAGGATGGTGTCACCCCACCGATGCCCGGGAAGGTGTCACTCGGGGAGCCCCCAGAGCAGGAGGGTCCCGAGTCCCCCAGGAGGCTGGCTTGTGCCCCCCCCGTGCTGGAGGCTTTGACTGTCGGGGACTTGGCGGCCAGGGCGCCGGGGCTGGAGGGGCCTCGCCGTGTCCTGCAGCAGATGGACGCTTTGTCCCTGGCAGGCCACAGCCCCTGTCCGCGGGCAGCGGGGGCCTTGGGCAGCCGCCCGCAAAAGCAGGTGACCTCTCGCTGCTTCCTCCCAGTAGCATGGCTGACAGCAGGCCCAAGACCCCCAAGCCCGCCAACAAGACGCCCCCCAAGTCCCCAGGGGACCCCGCGAAGGACAAGGCAGCCAAGAGGCTGTCACTGGAGTCGGAGGGTGCCAGCGAGGGGGCAGCCGCCGCGGGCCCGGAGCTCAGCGCCCTGGAGGAGGCCTTCCGGAGGTTTGCGGTGCACGGGGACACCAGGGCCACCGGGAAGGAGATGCATGGCAAGAACTGGTCCAAGCTGTGCAGGGACTGCCAGGTGATCGATGGCAGGAACGTGACCATCACCGACGTGGACATCGTCTTCAGCAAGATCAAGTACGTGTGCGCCTGGGACCAGGGGGGTGGTAGCGGGGCCCTGCGTTCTCTCGGGCAGCCAGGAGGCGACGCTTCAGGACGCCGTCCCCGCCCGGAAGAAGATGCCCGGGAGTTTGAACCAGAACACGCCCCAGTGGGGCCGGGAGCCCAGGTCAGGGACGCTGCCACAGCCTGAGGGGTCTCAGGTGGCAGAGCCCGGCCCGTGGGGGGCTGCTGGGGGCAGGGGCACGAGTCCGGGAGGTGGGCGTCTGTGGCGCCGCTCCCCTCAGCTCTGGGGGACGTTCGCGTGTGAAGAGCAGGGGTGACGAACGGTGGGCACCGTGTGCTTGTCCGTGTGTGTGTCTGCACGCGTGTGCACACGGGCTCGGGCGTGTGGTCCGGGCATCGACACGCCCCCTCCCCCTTCTCCTGCCCTTCACACCCTGTGACCACACCTTGAGAACAGCAACAGCATCCCCGAGGCATCACACAGACTCGCACACACGTGCACGTGCATGCACACACAGGTAGAACTCAGGTCTCCACTGTGCTGGTCACGGCTCACCCGGAGGACAGACGCCCTGGACAGGCCCTGGAGACCCCGTGCGTGGAGGCACGGGCAGTGGAGGCACACGGGCCCTCCTGCGCCCCAGGAGAGGGAGCCCCGTCTGGTCCCGGTCCCGCTCTGGAGGGCAGGACGCTGCTCAGACACTCAGGGAGGAGGCTTGGCCCCTGGCGCCCAGGCACTACGGGGGCCCCACCTCAGAGCCCGGCTGCTCTGGGCCCCAGAGTCTCTGCCTCGGCTCGCTGGGCGCGGGCCGGCGCGGCAAGTGGGCGGCTGCGGCCCCGGCCCGGCCAGGGGTCGTGGTCAAGACAGAGTGAAGACCAGCCTGTGGCTACTCCCCCTCTGCCCTCCTGGACCTGAACTCCCTGTGGGGTCCCTGTGACCTGTGTCCCACTTGGGAGAGCCTGTTCTGGGGGAGGGTCCCCCGGACCTCCCAGCTGTGCAGCGGGGGACCTTGCCCTTGGGAACGGAGAGGGAGACAGTGCTCCCTGGGGGGGGCCTGGGGGGGCGGTGCCCTGAGTCGGGTCGTGGGGTCCTGCAGGACAGGCTGGGAGCCACCCCTGGGGGACCGGGTCTGAGGAGCGTGGGGCGCGCGGGTCGTGGGACCGCGGCCGCTCCAGGTGGCAGCCGCGGCAGAAGCGCCTCAGCTCGCGGGAGCCGTGGGCGCGGAAGCGCACGGGTCGCCGACGGCGATGGCTGTTTCTGTTTGGGGCGGTTGCCATGGCGCCGCAGCCCTGCCGCCAGCGCGGTATCTGCAGCCTCTGTTTAGGCCCGTCGCCATGGCAGCGCTTGTTTGTTTGCGTGTTACTATGTGTTAAGTTTTAAACAGGCTTCTTGCAGCTCTTCCCCAGGCCTTGATTGAAGACTGCTGTCTCCGGGACCAGGGCTGCCCCCCGCCCCCCACCCCCCGGCCCCAGGGCGGGAGGAATTAACTCAGGACCCCGTTCGCATAAGTCCCGCCGGGGGTCTGTGGGCCGCAGGGTCCCCTGCGTGTGTGCCCAGGTGGGAAGGCCAGGGAGGCGGAGGGGGGCTCTGCTGGCCCTTCCTGGCCCCCACTCGCCGGCTTCCTGGCCAATGGTGGCGTTTCCCGTGACTCTGGAGCCCTGTCTGGGCTGCAGGTTAGGAGCACGCACGCCGGGGCGGGGGACGCGGCCCACTCTTGCCGCACGGGCTGCGGAGGGAACCTTCTGAAGCGCAGAGCTTGGCGCATCGGTGCAGAGACCCAGGCCGGGCGGGATGCCTCGGGAGCGGCGGGCAGAGCCGGGTGCGCTGTGCGGTCCCGGGCACGCCAGCGGGGCCCAGCGCCCGCTCAGGGCCTGACGCCCGACCCTGCCCTGCCCCTCCCCGCAGCCTGGTGGGTGAGGCTGCGGCATTCGGGGCCCTGGTCCTAGGACGTGCTTCCAGCTGTGGCGTTGGGGGTCTCACAGTGTCCTCCGCGGGGGCCTCTCCTGGCCGCCCGAAGCTGTGCAGGGCATCCAGCGGCTTCTGCCCTGGCCTCCTTGGGGCCTGCCTGGCGTGTCTACAGAGGGCCAAGGCTTGGGGGGCAGGAATCGGGCAATTCCGCCCCTGCTGGCTCCTCACACTGCTGATATCGGTGTTGGACGCCAGTGCACACAGGCCTTTTGATGACCTTCCCCAAACACCCAGAAGTGGTTTCAATGACCTCAAGGGCATCTGTCCCCAGAACCCATCCCTGAGCCTCCAGCCTGCGTTAGGCCCTCGCAAAGTCAGGAGGAACTTAGGACGCTCTTTCCTGCTTGGGGAGTAGCTGACTGTTGGGGTCACAGCTGCCCTTCAGGCGGCTGGCCTGGAGGCCGCCAGACATGGGTGTCAGCAGCCTCCTTCCAGGTTGCCAGCAGCGTGGTCCCCGGGGCCCAGGAGCAGGGGGCTGGCGTCTGCCCACTCCCAAGGCCTGGTACCAGACGTGTGGGCAGCTGCCACATCACACTGCATCCTCACACGGCATCCAGGACCTGCAGACAGCGCTCCCGTGGCAACCCGCACAGCCCCGCTGGCCCAGGGTCTGATGGGAATATCCCAGAGGCTCCCTCCTCTGACCCTCGTTGGTGCCCGAGTCTCCCCCTCCAGATCCCACTTCCTGCTCTCTGGACAGGTCACCCAGGTCCCAGCTTCTGCTGCTCAGGGGAGCCTGGGAGTCAGCTTTCTCCAGCCCCCAAGTGGCATGTTATCTGTGGTCCAGAGGGGGCCCCTTGCTCCGTCCTAGGACATGTTAGCCAAAGTCCAGCTGCCTTCATGACGCTGGCCCTGGAGACACAGACCTCTGTCCTCGGAGGGCTGCGCTGCCCCCCCTACCACCACCACCCCCCGCCCAGATCCTTGGCATCGAGTGCCCCTGATGAACTTCGGGAGTGGCCGGGCTCAGCCCTCTGCCTGCCCTGTGTTGGGCCTGGAGGTCTGGGGACGCAGGGCCTGGGAAGCACAAGCCACGGGGCCTCGTGTGTGACCAGTGACCCCATTACTGCTGGACCAGATTTCTAGCAGAACAACAGCCTTCTGAGCAGGGCACTGGTTGGCCCCAGCCCTGAGCCAGGAGGAGGGGGGTCTGGTGGGGGACCCCCTCCAGTTCTGTGCACTCTGGAGAACAGGCTCCCTGTGTGTGGGGAGCCGTGTAAAGTGATCACGTGTCTCCAGGGAAGAGGCTGGCAGTGTCATTCGAGAACTCCCCAGGGACTGCTCCCAGCGGGGGCCACGGGGCCCCCTGGGGAAGGCTCCCTGCCAGCCCAGCCCGGGCTCCGAGACCCTGCCTGGCGGTCACGGTGGGGACACGCGGGGACACCCGGCCCCGCCAGGTGGAGCAGGCAGGTCAGCGCCCTGGGCCCGCACGCCCACTTGATGTGAATGCGGCCTCTGATGGAGGCCCCATCGGCCACGCCCCCGCCCCCAGCCCGAGTGACTCACACTGGTGGTGCCTGGTGCCCCAGCGGCCGGTCACCAGGCTGGCAGTCAGGCCTGGCATCCGTGAATAGAGACAGGAGCGCCTTGGACAACCCAGGACAAACAAGCGGGGCCCCGCGGCCGTCGCGGGTCAGCAACCAGCAGGGATGCCAGGTTCCCCGCCCCGACAAGGCCAGGACCACGCTGCCCGGGACAGCTGGGCCAAGGGATCCCCCCGGCCCGGCCCATGGACCTCAGAGCCGCCGTGGCGTCGCAGCCAGGCTTTGAGGGGTGGAACCCACCGCCGGACACGGGGGCTCTGATGAGGCCTGTGGTCCAGGTGCCCCTCCTGACAGCCGTCCAGGCCTCTCGGGCTCCGCTCACCACCCGCCCACGTGGCCTCGCTGGTGGCACGACTCGGTCGTCCTCCCCATGGCCCCTGCGGCTGTGTCCTCCCTCTGCTGTCTCCCGACCCTGGGCTGGCCGGTCAGCACGTCCCGTGTCCGCAGGCTCACGTGTCAAGTGCCTGTGAGTCCCGGCATGCACGGGGGATGTCCTGAGGCATGTTTATCGCTTACCGCTGGGCTGTTGGAGTCCTGGTGACTGAACAGAACCACGAATAGGAGAACAATACACACGCACAGGTTTACGTGCGAGTGAGACCCAGGAGGGGTCGCGGGGTTGTGCGTGGGCTGCCAGCCCACCTCTGGGGGATGTTGCCGCCTGCACCCTTCCACACCGTGGTGTCCTTTTATCTGGTTTACTTACTTCCACTGTCCCAGTGGGTGTGCGGCAGGGCCACATCCCAGTTTAACCTGATTTCCCTGGTGCCCAGTGACGTGGAGCGTCCTTCACGGGCTGGTTTGCACTTGAAGATCTTTGACAAAGTGTCCGGTTCAAATATTTTGCCCAACTTTTTTTTTTTTTTTTTTGCAGTACGCGGGCCTCTCACTGCTGTGGCCTCTCCCGTTGCCGAGCACAGGCTCGGGACGCGCAGGCTCAGCGGCCATGGCTCACGGGCCCAGCCGCTCCACGGCATGTGGGATCTTCCCAGACCGGGGCACGAACCTGTGTCCCCTGCATCGGCAGGCGGACTCTCAACCACTGCGCCACCAGGGAAGCCCCTGCCCAACTTTTTACATTAGGTTTTTTTCTTGTTGTTGAGGTATGAGTTCTTTGTGTATTTCAGATACAAGTCCTTTATCAGATTTTCTCCATCTGTGACTTGTCTTTTACTTCTCTTAACAGTATCTTTTGAAGAGCATGGTTTTAAAATTTTTGGTCAAGTCCAATTCATTGTTTGTCTTTTATGGACTGTTTCTGGGGGGTCGTTCCTGAGAAAATCTTTGCCTAAGCCAAGGTCACGAAGAGTTTCATTGGGATGCTTATCCAGAAGTTGGATGGTTCGGGGTCTGATAAATGCAGGACTGTGGTCCAGTTGAGTTAACCTTGTAGACGGCGTGGGGCACAGGCCAGGCCCCTTCCTCTGTGCACAGCCTCCGGCCGCTGAAAGGACAGTTCCACCTGCACTCATTGGCTTATGCAACCTTGTCAAAAACCCTTACATGTGGCCTGTTTCTGACTGTCCTGTGGCCGCTCTGCGGCCGTCCCTGTGGCTTTGCGGCCGGTGCTGACGTGGGGGCAGCCCCCTCCCACTCTGCCCTCGCCTCTCCAGCCGGTCCCCTGGGTGCCGTCGGCTGCACAGTCTCGAGCCCTTGGCTTCTGCAGGCAGCCTTTCTGTTGGTCCCCGGGGCACCTCCCCCCACCTCCTCTTACTGTAGAACATTGAAAGCCTCACCGGATGGATTAGCTGGGGAAGATCCAAAGTGGCAGAAGTGTTTTTCAGTTAAAATTCGTAGAGAGCAAGAGCCAGTCTAGAGCCATTTTGAAATTGTGAGAATGGACTTCCCTGGTGGCACGGTGGTTGGGAATCCGCCTGCTAACGCAGGGGACATGGGTTCGAGCCCTGGTCCGGGAAGATCCCACATGCTGCGGAGCAGCTGAGCCCGTGCGCCACAACTACTGAGTCCACGCGCCTGGAGCCCGTGCTCCACAATGGGGGAGGCCATTGCAATGAGAAGCCCCTGCTTGCCACCGCAACTAGAGAAAGCCCGCGTGAAGCAACGCAGCCAGAAAGGGAGGGAGGGAGGGAGGGAGGGAGGGAGGAGAAAGAAATTGCAAGAACGACCTACCAGGTCCCGGGCAGCTGTGGGATGCCTCCGGGGGAGGAGCTGCTCCCGGGTCCCGGCTGTGCCCCAGCCCGCCCAGTGCTGGTCAGGCCCCGGCCACGGGGAGGCGGCCCCCAGTCCTGTCCCTGAGTGGGGACCGTGCCCCCCCCCCCGGCGACCCCACGCAGGCTGGTGGCCGCAGCCAGGACTGCAGCTGCCTCTGTGCCATGGGATCTGACGTGCTTTTCACCCTGACTTTCCCTCTGATGGAGGCCACACGCTCGCCCGCTTTAGAACCAGACCAGGATGTGTTTTGATGTCCAGTCGTTCATAAAGGACGTGCTTCCTTTCAACTTTGTTCCAAGACGATTTATATTTGCTGCCATTGCCGATGGCAACCGACTATTGGGTGCAATGCTGCAGACCAGGGCGGGGCAGGGGCACGTTCTGTGTTTTAATGGCAGACTCGCTCTGGGCTGTGGGAAAGAGGTGGGGTGAGGGGTCCCCCGATGTCAGCGGGGCCCTGGGTGGGGCGCGGGTCCCAGGCCAGTGACTGCTCAGCGCCTCCTCCCCATGCCTGGGCCCGGTGGGCGCCCCCTGAGCCCCCTCTCCCTGCAGGGGCAAGTCCTGCAGGACCATCTCATTCGAGCAGTTCAAGGAGGCACTGGAGGAGCTGGCCAAGAAGAGATTCAAAGACAAGAGCAGCGAGGAGGCCGTCCGAGAGGTGCACCGGCTCATCGAGGGCAAGGCCCCCATCATCTCGGGGGTGACGGTGAGTGCGGCGGGCGGGTCTCGGGAAGGAGGCAGAAGCGTGGTTCCCGGGCGCCAGCGGCCCCCGTCTGCGGTCTGGGCCCCTGGGCTGGACTCGCCCTGGCGGCTTCCCTAACCTCGTTCCCCGCTCTCTTGCAGAAAGCCATCTCCTCGCCCACCGTGTCGCGGCTCACGGACACCACCAAGTTCACGGGCTCCCACAAGGAGCGCTTCGACCCGTCGGGCAGGGGCAAGGGCAGGGCGGGCCGCGTGGACCTGGTGGACGAGTCGGGCTATGTGCCGGGCTACAAGCACGCCGGCACCTACGACCAGAAGGTGCAGGGGGGCAAGTAGCCGGCGGGGCCTTCTCCCGTCGTCCGGTCCCCCGCCGCCTCACACTTCGTTACATTCCTGTGCTTTGCAGGCAGGACTCGGACCCGGGGCTGGGCGGCCGCGGAGGCTCCAGGCCTGCCTCCCTCCCGCCCGGGCCCGCACTCCCCTCCACCCCAGCTTTGGCCCCGACTCACCTTTCCTAACACACCTGCCTCGTGCCCGCCAGGAAGTGGGCAGATGGCCCTTTCCAAAGTGTCTCTCGGGGCCAGACCACACTGGCCACTGGTTTGCAGCAAAGGGGGCGTTTTAAAGGAGCTGGTGGGCAGACCCTGTCGGGGCGGTGTTGACCCGCAAGCACCAAGGCACCAACCAGCAGCACCGATAAAGCAGAGGGAGCCCCAGACAGGGCACCGTGGGGCCCGGAGAGCACCACGGAGGTGTGGGAGGCGGGGTTCACAGTGCACGCTTGCACGCCCAGCACACACAAACACACCCACGCATGCACGCACACGCACTGCGCACACACCGTGCACGCACGCACGCACGCACGCACGCACACGCGCTCAGATGCACAAACCGACCGCCAGGTCTGCGTTGAGGGCGGGCGCCGAGCTGAGGGCTGCCGTGCAAAGGAAGAAGCCTCTGTCGACCAAAGTGACTCCAAGTGTGACGTCACGAGATTTTAAAATGGAAACTAAGGGCAGTTCATTTCACTTCCCTGAGAAGAAATAGGAAACAGTGATGCATGTTTATTCTCAGAACGGCTCAGGGAAGACTTAGAATATCCCGTCTCTGTGACTCCCTCCCAGCGGCCCCTGTGTCCCCGCCCCGACCCGCAAGGACCCCGGGGGCCCTGGGCTAGAGGCTGCGCGGGTAGTGCGACGGCTCTCTCCTTGCTTCTCTGGCCGCTGTGCTTCCTCTGGCCTCTCTGGAGCCTCCGTGAGCGGCCTGCCCTGTCCTCCCCGCTCAGGAGTGCAGAAGCCGCAGGGCAGGACCAGGCCAGGGGAGGGCCCGAGGCCGGTAGCATCTGCGGGGTTTGGTTTCTCTGAGACGCCGGGGTGGGGTGGGGGGCTCCTGCTGTCACAGTGGGCCCTTGGCGGTGTGTCCCTTTGCATGGACATGGCCACAGGCCGGCGTGTAACCCTCTGGACCCTGTGGTCCTCGTTTCGGTCCCGGGGACAGCCCATGGCAGCCCCCAGGGAATGCTTCCCGGGAACCCAACCGCCCTGCCACGATCTGTCCTGCGTCCAGCGCAGCAGGCCGGTGAGGGGCACCCCTCCATGGACACACGGCACAGGTGGCCGTGAGAAAGGCCAGCACTGCCACGGCAGGCACGTTGGTCACAGCTGGACCTGGGACACCTGCCCACCCACACGGAGGGGCTCAGGCCAGCGCTCCCAGCCGACGCGGCCCCTTGCACGGGGGGCTCCCCCGGGATGGCGGTAGCCTCTGCGGGCAGCTTCGTCTTGAGGCCTGGCACCTCACCGCGCGATCACCCAGGAAGTGACGGAGCACAGGCACCCGGGGCTCACTGCGAAGATGTGAATCGCTGCCGTCTAGGAAGTTTCTAAAACTTGGGGATCCGAAGCTGCCCAGCCAGGCCCCCAATCCGCCACCAGGAAACAGGCCCGAGGGCTGGGGGAAGGCAGGCAGGAGGCCGGCCCCGCCCCGGGCGCCTCTCCTCCCTCCAGAGGCAAGAGTCACCTGGGGAATCGCGTCTGCAGAGAACTCTGAACGTGCAGAGTGTTTCTGGGCACTAAGCTGATCACAGATGGCAAAGCCCGTGTTCCAGTGCCGGCCGGTTCCTCTCCGTGGACTTGGGACAAGACTCCTCCCCAGACCCATCCTCTGCCCAGCCGCCGCGGGTCTCCGCCTGCCCGACAGCCCGGCACCCCGCACAGCCGCCCCGCGGCAGGACACGGGGGTCCAGCCCCCCCAGCCAGTCAGGGGCTGGCTGCCCGGGAGCACACGGGAGGCGGACTGAGCAGAAGAAACGACACCAGTGGCGTCCTGGGACGCTTCCTCACGCTGCCCCCCCGCCCCGGGCCCGGCCTGCGGGGCCGACACCACCCACCGCAGGAAACCCATCTTCCCGATGGCTACAGCAGCACCTCCCCCTTGGGTTAAGGAAAGTCTAGTGCACACAGCTGCCCCCGTGGCCAGCCCCGTGCTTGCGGGTTCGCGAGCTGCGGAGGCCGAGGCGTCTGGCTGGGTCTCAGGTGTCCCCAGCCCGCCTGAGGCCTCCTTCCCAAAGGGTAGCTCTGGAAACACATCTCCCCGCTCAGGGCAGGAGGAAGCGGCGGCCCCCTCCCCGTCGGCTCCGTCACGGCATCTGTGTGTAGCCCAAACACAGCACGGCGCTCGGGCTCCAAGCTCTGCGCAGACACACGTGCCTCCCTCAGGCTCTGGGTGCTGTGGACAAACAGGCAGGTGTGCGCCTTCGCTGCATGTTCTATGCAACACCCATTCGCTTCTACTAACTGTGGTTAACTAGGAACTACGTGTCTCTCTGTGAATGAAGGAAACTGCACAGCAAGCCCAGCAGGAAGCAGGGGCCCGTGGTCAGGGTGCACCACGCTGACGGCGCCGAGCGCCGGGACAGCAGAGCGAGCGTTGGAGAACATTGTGCCACAGTACTTATTTATTTCTATTTAATGCTGTAGGATAAGCAACTAGGCGGTGGTCAGTTCACCAAAATTGAAGTTCAAATTACGTACGTTTAAAATATTATAGGAAGAGATCTATATTTATACTGGAGTATTTTTACACCTCGAGTATCCTCAGTCTTAAGGTTTGAGGCCAATGAAAGTTACAGTCAGGAAGAGGCACGGGGAGCTCCAGCGGCATCGCCTAAGCTGCGCTACGTCCACGCCCCACTGGCCGAGAGCTCAGGGCAGGCCGAGGCATCCCTCTGAAGCACCAAGCGGACAGAGGCTCACACACCCGAAGCCTGGGCCTGCTCAGCCACCGGCTGCCGTGGATCAAGCCTTAACGGCACACGGCCCTGCCGCGCACCGCCCGTGGCTGCTTCTGTGGCTACGCCGGCGGCAGGGAGATCGGTCACAGACGCCACGGCCCACGAACCCTACAACAGCCACTGCCTGGACCTTTAGGGGAGGCTGCTGGTGCTGTCCCCACCCCTGAGCACCCAGCAGGCTCCCTCTGGGAATGTTCCCGCGTGAGCTGGCACACCCTGTCCCACAGTGCACGCAGGTGGGGACACCACTGTCACCTGTTCCGTCCACTCAGGTTGACAATTCAGCTGTGCTGTGAAGTCACCACGAGGCTAGAATGTCCTTCGAACTCTGACCCTGAGTAGCTTCCCGCCGCTGACTACTGAGCCCTCTGTGAAATCCCGTGGCTCGGGGGTGGCCTTTGTCCGTGGGAGTGGAGAGTGTGGCCAGTGGTGGCCCCAGGCACTCCTGGGAGGTGGTCGCCCTGCACTTTGAGATGCTTTAGTTAACTTTCTCTCTTCCCCAAACCAAGCCAAACAACAAAGGAGACGCACATAACTCAAACTTGAAAGGGATCATATGCTACTAGTTTGTACTAAGTTTTTTTCAGGAAAGGGAAATAAATGTATATATAGATGCGATCTATTTTTGCACTGTTTTCTTACTGTTAGGGAGCGATGAGGGCATCACTTTGCAGTGTGATGGGACAAGCAGTGTGGACGTCAACGGGTGCTCTGACTCAGAACCACACTCACCAGGAACTCTGGGGGCGTCTGTAGGGCCGAGGCGTGGTGTCACCTGTCAGTCGCGGTGCAAGGCCTGGCTTGCAAACCTGTGATGAAACAGCCCCTGTCTGTCTGCATACCTCCTCGTGTGTTCCCTGTTGTTAACACTGTGTCAGATTGGTAAAGTGACAAATAAAGGTGTTGAATCGTGGGTCTGTGGTCCTCAAAAGTGCGCTGTGTGCACGGGCAGTCGCGCGGGCACTATGGTAACACGGACACGCCCAGGAGAGGCTGCAACTTACGGGAGCGCCAGCCGCCCTCCAGGTGCAAGGCCTGGAGTGGGATCTGGACACAAACCACATCACGGACGCCCACATCAGCCCTGAAAACGGGGATGACGCCATCAAAACTGGCATAAAATAAGGACGTTTTTAGACCATGATGGGGAGACTCGTGCCAGCAGGTGAGAAAGGAAATTATAAACACAGTGATTAGAGACGGAGAGGCTGAGATGTGAGAGAGAAGTGGGCAAACAATAAATAACTACAGGTAAACAGTGACTGTATTTCATCTAAACAAAATATTTCATTAAGGCACCTGAAAAGCATGACATGCAAGCCAGAAGGGGTGCACAGGGAGTCACGTGCTCATGGCTCGTGTATGATGTCAGGAGTGCTGATCAAATAAACACAAACATGTGCTGTGATAGCACACCAGGAACAGGGCACACAGCCTCCAAACTTGTAGAGGTGAAAATGTGAATGACAGAAAATTATCTAAAAACGGCAACACTAGACAGGAAAATAAATCATCCAAGTAGAACAAATAGCACAAAATGAGATGGCAGATTTAAACTAAAATGTATCAATTACATTAGGTGATAAAGCAAGAGAAACACAGAAGTGGTAGCAGCTCAACCGCCAGGATGAGGAATGACCAAGGAGAATGAGTGGGGCTGCACAGCAGCTCGGAGGCAGTCAGCAGTCCACGGTGGGCGCCACCCCCGAGGCACACAGGAGGACGCAGGAGCGGAGGACGCAGGAGCGGAGGCCTCCGGACCACCGCCAAGCTGGCCCAGGATCCCGGTCAGTGGCCTGTTGGAGGCATCCCCGGGCCCTGCTGGGGTCACTCGGTCACCGACTGGGGCTGCCTGGACGAGGGTCCTGAGCTCAGGAGCTGGGACAGAGCCTGACGCCACGGCAGCTGCATCCCGTCCCCTGAACAGCAAGGTCTTGCGTGAAGGGACACACCTGCCCCTACGTCTCTGCCACAGGGACACAACTTCAAATGCTGAAACTATTAAAATGTCATTAAAAGATTGAGCGTCATGCCAAAAAACCTGAAAATTAGGCCATAAGAACAAATTCCTAGAGATAACGTAACTTATGAAAACTCACTCAAGAAGAACTGGGAAGCCCGCACAGTGCTGGCCAGGTGAGTACCAACGGCGATGGAGAAGCCGGAAGTCCAGGGGCTGGGCAACAAGGTGTGCATCTCACTCACACGGAGGCCAGCTGGGGCCCGGGGGGAGGGGTGCCACTCGGGCGGCCACCAGCTCTTCTCTGCTGGGCCCTGAAGACACGCCTCCTTCACTTGCAGAGTTGGTCACATGGCCCCAAACCAGCTACAGGGGAGGCACATGGACGGCCCCTGAGAACCCACTCTGCTGCATTGCCAAACCATAATTCAACTGAATCAAGTCAAAAATCTCCTCACAAGATGTGAACTGGTACAGCCACTATGGAGAATAGTATGGAGGTTCCTTAAAAAACTAAAAATAGAACTACCTACCATATGACCCAGCAATCCCACTACTGGGTATATACCCTAAGAAAACCATAATTCAGAAAGAGTCATGTACCGCAATGTTCACTGCAGCACTACATACAATAGCCAGGACATGGAAGCAACCTAAGTGTCCAACAAATGGATAAAGAAGATGTGGTACATATACACAATGGAATACTCAGCCATAAAAAGAGATTGAAATAATGCCATTTGCAGCAACATGGATGGACCTAGAGATTGTCATACTAAGTGATGTAAATCAGAGAAAGACAAATACGGTATCACTTACATGTAGAATTTCAAAAAAATGATACAAATGAAACTTTTTGCAAAACAGAAACAGACTCACAGACACTGAAAACAAACTTATGGTTACCAAAGGGGAAAGGCAGAGGGGAGGGATAAATTTGGAGTTTGGGATTAACAGATAAACATTACCTATATATAAAATAAATAACAAGGTCCTATTGTGTAGCACAGGGAACTCTACTCAATACCCCGTGATAAACCATAATGGAAAAGAATATGAAACAGTATACATATACATAGATATAGCTATAGATATACAGATATATATCTATCTGAACCACTTTGCTGTACAGCAAAAACTAACATAACATTGTAAATCAACTGAATAAGAAACCTGCAGGCATTCAGGGAAGAAGCAGTTACAATCTTATACAAATTCTGCTGGGACAGCGATAGTGATGACGCAAACCCCAACAGGAACAGCATCACAAGGACAAATGTCACCCTGGACACGGACGTACCACGTTCTTCTCAGAGCCACACTCACGCTGTACCGGCCGTGTGTGCGACCTGTCCGGGACCGTACTCACAAGTCACTCAGCCCTCACGATGGCCTGCGAGGCAGGCACTGCCAGCCAGGACGATGGCCCAGAGAATCTGACTGCCCAGGGGGACATTAAGTGGTACACCTGGAACACGAAATCCTACACAAAACACCCACAAACCACGTACAACAACGTGTATGGAAGGAAAGCCCATCATCACTAAGTCGTGCTTCTCCCAGAAAGTTACTGTAGTTACAACCATATGAATAGGACAAGGGAGAAAAGTCACATGGTCATCTCAGTAGTGGCACCAGAGTGTCTTATTCATCCACTCACGATGACAAATTCTTAGCAAATTAACAACAGGAGCAAGGCCACCAAAAACCCGAATTTAGTGGTGCAAGTTTAGTGGTGAAGTGGTGAAAGCTCGCCTTTGATTTAACACCCAGAACAAGACAGATGCCCACTCTACTACCACGTATAATCCACAATTATATTAGACATGCCAGCCAGCACAGAAGAGCAAAACTCAAAACAAAACCAAAAAGAAAACATAAAGTAAAAGCCCAGAGTAAAGGAATGGAATGGAGAAAAGAAAAGCCATTACTCACAGAAGGCATGACTGTGCTAGAAAGTCTAGCACAGCTACAGGCAAATTATTACGAGTCTAACAAGATTGCTGGGTGTAAAATTAATGTACAAAAAATCAATTCTATTTCCATATAATACAAACAAACACATTTCAAAAACACATCTTTTAGATATGGCATCACAAAACAAGGAAAACCTAGGAAGAAACATAACAAAAGATGCATGAGACCTCCATGGAGAAAATCATAGAACTATAATTAACATACATTAAAGGAGATCTAATAAGTGGACACAGATACTACAGTCATGGCTTGTAAGACCCAATATTACCTATGTCAGCTCTTCCCAAACCGACCAATGCAATCCCAAACAAAATCCCAACTTACCCAGCTAATTCTGAAGCTCATGCAATTCACAGGGTCAAAAGTAGCCCAAGCACCCGACATGGGGCGGGAGGTCTTGACCTACGGAGTGTGGTGCTGCACAGGGATGGACTGGACCCCAGTGGAGGGAACAGACACACGAATCATTTGTGACCAACGAGTCTTGTGAATGGATGATGCTACATGTGAAAACCCCGGAACTGGGTCCTTAACCCTCACAACACGCACAGAAGTCAATTCCAGGTAGAATGTATCTAATACTCAAAACAGACAAAACTGTACGCTCTTTTAGAAGATACATGGAATATTTTATGACTACAAACAGAAAAATCATCATGAAAAAGACTGATAAATTGCATCCTATTAAAGTTTAAATTGGGACTTCCCTGGCAGTCCAGCGGTTAAGACTTTGCCTTCCAAAGCAGGGGGTGCAGGTTTGATCCCTGGTCGGGGAGCTAAGATCCCACATGCCTCACAGCCAAAAAACCAGAAGCAATACTGCAACAAATTCAATAAAGACGTTAGAAATGGTCCACATCAATAACAACAACAAAAAAAAACTTTAAAGTTTAAATTTTCTCTTCATCAAAACACACCATTAAAATGTGGAAAGACAAGAAAAAGCTATTTGCAAACATAATGCACAAAGTACTAGTACCCAGCACTACAAATAACTCCTACAAGTTAAGAGACAGACTATCCGGTAGGAAAATAGGGAAAATCCTTGACCAGGCACCTTGGAAAGGCAGGTGCACACCCTGGCCGATGGGGCAGCAGGTGCAGGACTCCCTAGGAGGCGGACTTCTAGAAGCCTGATGGAAAGTGTGGGGCGCGAGGGCCAGCAGGTGTCCCCACGTACCTGCCAGCAGCAGCGTTAGCTGGTGTCACCAGTTCGCAAAGAGTTCCAGATGATCTGTAGTAACGCCACTCAGAATATGGTTAAGGAGTTAAATGAAACATGAACATAATGGGAAATAAAACCTTTATAAAAAAGGTGTTCTTTCCTTTTTATAAAAAAGGACCAAATGGAATTTTAGTACGAAGGAATATACAATTTCTAAAATTAAAAATTCAGTCTACAAGCCCAACAGCAGGTCAGGCGCATGGAGGAAACAGCAGTAAACTCTGTGACGGGACAACAGAGGCCACCCAACCGAAGCTCCTAGAACACTAAGGAGGAAAAGACCCAAGATTAGGGAAAGGGGGGGCCAGACCCAGGGGCTGACATGGCGTCACTGGAGTGCTGGGGGGAGGGGATCGGAAAGGCGGCTCGGGTCAAGGGAGAAATAACAGGAAATCATGGCCCAAACTTCCCACGTTTGATGAAAAATACAAAGCTTAACGTAACCCAAACGAGAAACATAAAGTAACAGCATGGCGACAATCTTCTACAAGCTGAAAACGGATTCATGCGAAAATCTTTAAATAAGAAAAAAATCTCATGATGAAACACGCACCCCCCCATACCGACTTCCCTGTGGTTACGAAAACGCAACGCGACCTGAAGGCGAGGGCCGCCTCCTGAGCCCCAGGGCCTGCGCCAGACCCTGCTCGCGACCTGCAGCTCTGCTCCCTAAGTCCACCGCACGGCACTCTCAACAATCACTTCGCTTCACCAAAGAAAGCAAGTATTACCTAAGATAACAACGTTTCCAATCTAAAAATCTAATTTTACGCCCTGTTAGGACATACTTTTCAGAAATGAACTGCAAACCAAGGAGAGCGGGGCTTGGGCGGTATTTCTCCTGTGGAAAGTTAATGCCACAGACATTATTCTTCACAGCTCTAGGTGTTACTTGTATTTAGTCTCAGATCTTGCAGTTCGTGCTCATCAACCGTGGTGCACGGCTTATTTCATAAAAGAACTCAACGCGAAACTCAGTTATAATCGAAGAGCCACTTTTTAGGACAATGTATTAGTTCATTAAATAAGGGTTGCTTGTTACACAATCAATTATTTTCTTTAACCGTCCTACAGAGCTGCTTTCTTGCACGTTAGGCAAAAAAATACAGCATTTTCTCAAGATATTTGATGAAAAACTACTGACCTGTTTGTCTCAAGACATGTAAGGGGCTTGGATGAGCCTGTCGTTTTAGGACACTTCAGACCCCCCCCGCCCCGCCCCACAGGCCCTGAAGACAGACACCCACGGAGAAGAGCGCTCAGGGCATGGACGCGGGCGGGAGGCTGGGGCACAGGGCCGTGGTCTGAGCTCCCTGTGGCTCCAGTGCAGCGGCTCCACCTCGGCCTCGTGCTGCGCCCGCACCCGGCCCAGCTCCCAAAGGAGGTGCTTGTTGGTGCTGACCAGGGACCTGGAGACGAGGCAGGGGACAGCGCTCAGCCCCGGGCCCCATCCCCGCCCCGAGGGCCCTCGCGCTGGCCCTGCTTCTGCCCCTCGCCTGGCGGGGCTGCGTCTCCCCGCCAGTTCTAGAAAAGGTCTAAGGATGGAAATTTCTAATTCGCGGGCAACTGCACTTCTGACACGGACACGGCATAATAGGAAAGGCCTGGGTTCTTTAATGCTGTGGCCGTTTTTAACTCTGGAGGAATCTCAGCAGGGAAGTGGAGCTGCACGCTGCCGACCCCGTCTCCAGGCTGCCAGCTAACCCGGTTGGCACTGACTGAGGGACCTCCGTGGCGCCGCGAGCCACAGATAGCGCGGGGCCGCGTTCTCCACAAAGCTGGCCACGCCAGCGACAAACCCCGTTTGCCGGGACACTGGGAGAGCCACGGGCCAGGCGGAGGTTCAGCACCGACCCGCCTGCTGCTCGGAGAGGCGCTGCGGCCCTGCCTTGCCCACACCGAGCCCACGGAGCCCACCCGCCTGCGGCCTGCCTGCCCTCCCCTGCGGGGCTTGTGCTGGGATGGGCCCAGGGGCCTGTGGCCTCCAATCCCCACAAGGTCACAGCCGGGGCCGCCGTGGTGACCTCGACCGACAGTGAGAAGGGGGCGGGGGGAGAGCAGAGGAAAAGGGAGGGTGGGGCGGGAGTGCTGCCCTCAGGCCTGCCCCCCACTGTCGCGGCTTCCCCTCCGCAGCCCCACCCGCTTGCCAGCATGCAGGTCTCTTCACAAAATCCGAGCTGGGGGCAAAGGTGGAATCTGTTTCTGCGAGAACAACCGAGAACCACCACGCCGAGGGGGCACGCGCAGGCCTCCAGGACACGGCACCACCTCTCCCTCGCCCCTCGTCCCCCCTTAACACCTCCCAGGAAGCTGCAGCAGGAAGGACCTCGCGGCTCAGTAAGACGCAGAAGCTCACACAAGCTCCGAGTCAACTCAGCAACACATGTGGGCTCGGGACCAGCGGCCCGCTGCCCCGGGCAGGCACCTACGGCTCTCCTGCAGCATCTGGGTGAGTTCCTGGATCCTGTCATAGTGCTCCAGACGCTGCTTTAGTTCCACAATCTCCCCGGAGAGCCGCTTCACACTTGTCTGAAATCCTGATGGGAAAAGAAGCAGCAATATTCAGTGAAATGTGCTCCCACATTTTTAAAATTTTTATTTATTTATTTATTTAGTTTTGGCTGCGTTCGGTCTTCATTGCTGCGCGCGGGCTTTCCCTAGTTGCGGCGCACGGGCTTCTCACTGCGGTGGCTTCTCTTGTTGCGGAGCACGGGCTCTAGGCATGCAGGCTCAGTAGCTGTGGCTCGTGGGCTCTAGAGCACAGGCTCAGTAGTTGTGGTGCACGGGCTTAGTTGCTCCGTGGCATGTGGGATCTTCCCGGACCAGGGCTCGAACCCGTGTCCCCTGCACTGGCAGGCGGATTCTTAACCACTGCGCCACGAGGGAAGTCCCAACACTCCCACATTCTGGAAACTAAAATGATTCTAGGGTTTAAAGCGCACCTGGGAAACACGGGAAAAGGTCATCAGGGTGAACAAAGCAGCCCCCTCTCCACCTGCAATCATGCCACCCAGGGCCCAGCGCCGGCCCCTGCTGTTGGGGATGAAGCCCCGGGACTCTGCCCTCCGGGCACCCCTGAGGGGTGCGTGCGGTGTGGAGCAGACAGGTGGAGGTGGGCCTGGCGCCAGCCAGAGGTCCTAGGCTGATCTGCTGCTGGACAGCAGGGCCCTCAGGAAGAAGACCCCGGCAGCCCACAGGACTGGGGTGAAGGGCTGTGGGGACGGTTACCGGGCGGCGGGCCCCGGAGGGTCTCGGCTGTGACTGTGCTCACGCCCTGAGATGCTTACCACCCGGTCCTTTAGGAAGAAGTTTCAGACTCCCGAGAGCAGACACTCAGGCTGAAGCCCCTGTGGGACCCCACGTCACCTCACATTACCCCAGAGCAGGCTGCACCCCACCTCGAAATCCCAAGGGCACTTTTGCAAAACTGGCAAAACAGAATCCAAGACAGTGAAGAGGGAAACAAAAATGCCCTGCGTCTGGAAGGAGCCGTAACCAAGGAGGAGGACGCCCCGGGGAGGGCCCCGTGGCCTTTCAGCAGCTCAGAGAGAGACGGTCCCGGGCACGCGTGCCCGCCCTGGCAGGGCTGGGGGCTCCGACCCCGCTTCACTGCACTTGCTGAGTCTGAATCCTGTGAAATCCTGACTCTTACACGTACAAGTAAACCGTGAACTCACCAGTGATCTGCAAGTTCAGTGTGGATGGAGCGTCGGCGTTTCTCACTTCTTTTTTCACGCTGAACAGAAGAGACTTCAAGCTACTGCTTTCCTCCAGAGTTCTGCCCAGATGCTGCCTCAGGTGATCCTGCAGACACAGAGCAACGCATGCCAAACAGACGAGTCAAACTCTGTGCAGACTGCATCGCTACAAAGATGGCATCTGGGGCCCGTCTGTCTGGATCCAAGTGGTCCCAAACTGCACAGTGTAAGGAGAAGGGGCGCCACTACTCGTCTGCCCAAACCCCCAAATCCACGGTCCTCTGTCTCCGGGCTGACAGGCCTGCTGTGCCCATGGGGACGACGCACCGCCCGGTGACCACGCAGGCTGGGGCTGCAGCCCTTCCTGGATGCGAGAGCCATTTGTGTGCAGACACCCAGAGGATGCCGGTACCACTTCACTATTTTTCACTTATGCCTCTAAAAATGAAGCTTTGTGTAGGATCTCTGTCTTGATAAGATGATAAGCACCAGACACTTCAGACACTTGTCTCCCAGCAACCCTGTGGCTACTTCCACTCCCATTTTACAAACGGGGGGACTGAGCACAGAGGGTGCTCACGCCCGGGAGGAGACCCGTCCCCGCCACACACAACACACAGAAGCCACCACGTGGCACCCTCCCCATCAGCTGCCGCATCGTGAGGACTTGCGGGGCTGCCTGGAGTGGGCGTGGAGGACCTGCACCCTGCTAAGCCTTCAGAGGAGACCCCAGCGCCGAGTGACAGCCTGGCAGCAACTTCAGGAGCCTTCAGAGGAGACCCCAGCACCGACTGACAGCCTGGCAGCAACTTCAGGAGCCTTCAGAGGAGACACCAGCGCCAAGTGACAGCCTGGCAGCAACTTCAGGAGGCCCTAAGACACACGGCTCAGCTACCCTGGGCTCTGACCACAGAGACCACACAGGGTAAGCGTGTGCTGTTTGAGGTGTGACTGGGGGTGACTTGTTACGCAGCAACAGACAACCTAACACAGGGGGTTCAGTACCTGCTGCCATCCCTACAGCCCACCCTCTTAACCACGGGACAGAAGCCAAAAAGCTTCTACACAGCAAAGGAAACCATCAACAAAATGAAAAGGCAGCCTACGGATTGGGAGAAAATATTTGCAAAGCATTTGTCTGATAAGGCGTTAATATCCAAAATATATAAAGAATTCACACAACAGTGAAAAAACAATCTGATTTAAACATGGGCAGAGGACCTGAACAGACATTTTTTCAAAGAAGACATCTAGATGCCAACAGGCACATAAAAAGATGCTCAGCATCGCTAGTCATCAGGGAAATGCAGATCAAACCACAGCAAGGTGTCACCACACCTGCCAGAACGGCTTCATCAAAAGGACAAGCAATAACAAGTGTTGCCAAGGGTGTGCAGAAAAGGGAACCCTCGTGCGCCGTTGGTGGGAATGTGAATTGGTGCAGCCACTACGGAGAACAGTATGGAGGTTCCTCAAAAATTTAAAATCAGAGCTACCAGATCCAGCAATTCCACTTCGGGGTATTTATCTGAAGCAAACAAAAACACTAATTTGAAAAGATATGTGCACCCCCCGTGTTCATAGCAGCATTACTTACAATAGCCAAGCTATGGAGCGACCTCAGCGCCCATCAATAGATGATGAATGGATAAAGAAGATGCGCTGTATGTTACAACGAGAAAGACGAATACCATGTGATCTCAGTCACACGTGGAATCTAAAACAAACAAACGAAGTGAAGCCCACAGATACAGAGAACTTGGTGCCTGCCAGAGGCAGAGCTTAGGGGTGGGGGAAGGGGGTGAACCGTTACTGCTTTTTAGTTTAAATCAATTGAATTTTTTTAAAAAGTCTACTGCAAAGAAAAGGGAGAGGTTGTTAGTTAGATTAAAAACGCAAGACCCAAGTGTGCGCTGCCTACAGGGAACCCACTTTAAATATAAGCACCCCAATAAATTAAAAGGACGGAAAAAGAAAGATACACCATAGCAACACTAATGGAAGAAAGCTGCTGGTGGCTATGCTCGTGTCAGTCAAAGCAGAGCGAGAGAGAGAGAGAGAGCAGGTACAAAGGGGAAAAGCACGAGAGGAAGCATCACACGCTCAGGGGACTAACAGCGGTCAATGGCAGGCAGGGTGCCAGGTGGCGGCAGCGTGTGGAGGGCAAGGCAGAGAACGGCCAGGAGGTGCGCCCACGCGGGACAGCAACACCGGTAGGACCACGCGCTGGGAACGCCGACACCACTGAGCACACAGGTGTCACCTCAGCGGCCGCCGAGGGACCAGGGCACAGGCGTGGGCCCATCACATGGCACAAGGGTGACCAGATTCACACCGGGCAGCCGAACTCCACGGCCCCCACATTCAACCCTGACAACATACGAGCTTGACCAAAAAGAACAATTATACTATATGGGTCAAATTTACTTATTTTGGCTATAAAATAAATAAATAAAACTAAAACGAAAGAACACTTAAATAGTTTCCATACAATTAAACTGAACCATAATGATCGTGAGGCAAAAACCTCACCATGCTGAATGCACGATGGTCTTTAAGTAAAAATTATACACGTTTAAGGTGCCCCTTCGATGGTCTGACGTGCGTGTACATAGTGACGGCCACAGTCGAGGTAATACGCGCATCCTCTCTTCACAGAGTAACCATTGTTGGGGTGATGACAACACTGGAAATCTGGTCTCTCAGCAGATTTCCAGATTCCATGCGGTCTTGTTCACTGTGACCACCAGGCACGCTTTGGAGCCCTAGACTTAGTCGCCTACAGAGCTGCCACTCTGTGCCCTGGGCCAGCATCTCCCCACTCCCCCACCTCCCCACCACCGGTGACCACCGCTCTACTCTGCTTCTATGAGCTCAGCTCTTAGGCTCCACATAGGAGACCACGGAGTTTGTTTTCTTCCCACGTCTGACTTATTTCACTTAGCTCGAGGTCTATGGCAGGATTCCCGTCTTTCTAAAGATGAGTGATGTCCCACTGTACACATACACCACGTCTCCTTTACCCACTCATCCACTGAAGGGCGCTTAGGCTGCTTCCACACCTCGGTTACTGTGACTAATACTGCAGCGAACATGGCAGTACACGCATCTCTTCCAGATCCTGATTTCACTTCCTTTGGATAAATACGCAGCAGTGGGATTGCTGGATCATATGCTAGTTCTACTGTGGGTTTTTTGAGGACCCTCCATACTGCTCTCCACAGCGGCTGCACCAACATACATTCCCGCCAACAGTGCACGAGGGTTCCCTTCTCTCCACACCCTCCACTTGTTACCTTGTCTTTTCGATGGCAGCCGTTCTGCAGGTGTGAGGTGAGCTCACTCTGGTTTTGATTTGCGTTTCCCTGGTGATTAGTAATACTGAGCACCATTTTCACATGTCTGTTGACCATCTGTATGTCTTCTTTTTAGGTCCTCTGCCCGTTTTTTAGTTGGGTTTTTTTCTTCTATTGAGTTGTATATTAACCCCTCATCGGATAAATGGTTTGCAAATATTTTCTCCTAGTCCATACGCTACCTTTTCATTTTGGTGATGGTTTCCTTTGCTCTGCAGAAACCTTTAGTTTGAGGTAGTCCCCCACTAGTTTACTTTTGCTTTCGTTGCCTTTGCTTTTGGTGTTACATCCAAAAAATCACTGCCAAGGCCATGTCAAGGAGCTTTCTTCCCGTTTTCTTCTAGGTTTTTTTTTTTTTTGTCCGCACTACGCGGCATGAGGGATTTTAGTTCCCCTACCAGGGATCAAACCCATGCCCCCTGCAGTGGAAGCGTGGAGTCCTAACCACTGGACCACCAGGGAAGCCCCTTCTAGGAGTTTTAGTTTCAAGTCTCATATTTAAATTTTTAATCCACTCTGAGTTGAATTTTGTGTGTGCTGTAAGATAAGGGTCCAAGTTCATTCTTTTGCCTGTGAACATCCAGTTTTCCCAACACCATTTACTGAAGAGATCATCCTTTCACCGTGGTGTATTCTTGGTGCCCTTGTCAAAAATTAGTTGACATATATGTGTGGGTTTATTTTTGGGTTCTCTATTCTGTTCCAGTAATCTATGTCTGTTTCTGTGCCAGCACCATACTGTTATGATTACTATAGCTTTGTGATATAATTTTAAATCAGGAAGCGTGATGCCTGAAACTCTGTTCTTTCTCAAGATCACTTTGGTGATTTGGGCTCTTTTGTGGAACTACAAAAAGAAGAATACAAATTAAAAGAAAAATAATTATACAAATTTTAGAATCGTCTTTTCTATTTCTGTGAAAAATGCCATTGGAATTTTTATAGGGCTTACACTGCGACTGTAGATGTCTTTGGGCAGTATGGACATTTTAACACTAACAACCTTCCACCCATGAACATGGGATATCCTTCCGCTCATTTGTCTTCTTCAACTTCTTTTATCAATGTTTTATAGTTTTCAGTGTTAAGATCTTTAGCCTTCTTGGTTAAATTTATTCCTAAGTATTTTATTCTTTTTGATGCTATAAATGGAATGGCTTGGGAACAATCATTGGTATAAAGAAATTAGAATGATTTTTGTTGTGCTGACCTTGTATCCTGCAACTTCACTGAATTTATTTGTTCTGCTTTTCTTTTGTGAAGTCTTTAATGTTTTCTACATGAATGATCACATCATCTACAAACAGAGGTAACTTTACTCCTTCCTTTCCAATCTGGATGCCTTTTGTTTCTTTTTCTCACCTGCTTGCTCTTGCTAGTACAGTTGATCCCTGAACCACGGGGGGTCGGGGGGCTGGGGAGCCGACTCTCCTTGCAGCTGAAAATCTGCATATAATTTATAGTTAGCCCTCCAAATCTGCAGTTCTGTGTCCGTGGATTCAACCAACTTCCAATTGTGTAGTACTATAGTATTTACTATTTAAAAAATCCACGTATAAATGAACCCATGTAGTTCAAACCCACGTGTTCAAGGGTCAGCTGTACTTCCAGTGGAAGAGAAGCTGCAGACTGGACACCCTGGTCTCATACTGGGTCTCAGAGGAAAAGCATTCAGTCTCCCCCACTGATCATGAGGTGAGCCAAGGGCTTCTCACAGATGGCCTTCATTGTGTTGAGGAAATTTTCTTTTACACCTATTTTGTTGAGTTTTTTTCTTATCATGAATGGATGTTGAACTCTGTCAGATGCTCTGTCTCCATCACTTGGGATGACTGTGTGGTCTTTATCTCTCCATGAGTTAATGTAGAGTATTAATTTGTGTATGTTGAACCAACCTGGCATTCCAGGGGACAATCCCTCTTGGTGGTGATGTGTTGCTGAATTTGGTATACCAGTCTTCTGTTGAGGATTTTTACATCTATGTGCATCAGATAGTAGCCTGTGGTTTTCTTTTCTTGCAGTGTCTTTGGCTTTGGTATCTGGGCAATGCTGGCCTTATGAAATTAGTTTTAAAGTATTCCCTCTACTTCTATTTTTTTGGAAGTTTAAGAAGGATAAGTATTAATTCTTCTTTGAATGTTTGATAGAATTCAGCCATGAGGCCATCTGGTCCTGGACTTTCCTTTATTAAGAGGTTGATTATTGTTGCATCTCATTTGTTATTGGTCTCTTAGGTTTTATTTCTTCTTGATACAGTCTTGGTAGGTTGTATGTTTCTAGGAATTTATCCATTTCTCCTAGGTTCTCCAATGTGCTTGTATATAACCATTCTTTGACTCTTTTTATTTCTGAGGCATCCGTTGTAATGCCTCCTCTTTCATTTCTGACTTTTAATCTCCTCTCTTTCTTAGTCTAGCTAAGAGTTTATTGGTTTTGTATATTTTCAAAACCCAACTCCGTTTTGTTCATTGTTTTCCTGTGGCTTTTCTACTCTCTTATTTCTTTCTGCTATGATCTTTATTATTTCCTTCCTTCTGCTTTCTCTGGATTCAGTGTGTTCTTCCTAGTTCCTCTAGCTGTAAAGTTAGCTGGTTTATTTGAGATTTTGAGATCGTTTTTCCTTTTTAGTGTAGGCATTTATGAGTGATGGTCTCATGGTGAGGTTACAAAAGACGAGGGCAGCCTCAGCCAGGAAGTGGGCTCCACTGCCAGGCCCACACTGTGCCGGCTCTGGCTGCCCTTCAGCGCCACCTGGTGGCAGAGTTCCCACAGGTCCAACAGGACACCTTGGTCTCATAGCTGGCTAGTGCAGACAGGACAGCCAGGTAACTGGAACCTCTCTCACCAGTGTTCTGGGGAGCCTAAGCCAGGGAACACTGGGGCCACAGAAACTCCACCTCCAGCCCAGCCTCACTCTCTCTTTTTCTCTCCCACTCGGCCTCTCTCAGAACAGAACGCAGCTGCCCAGGAGAGGCAGAGCTGGGACAAGTGGCAATGCTGCCATCTGCAATCACTGTCATGAGGGGTCCTGGAGTGACAGAGTCACGCTGCGTCCCTGAAGGGCAGCTGGAGTCCCTGGGGGTGAGGAGAGCCTGGTGGGGGAGGGGGTTCGCGTCCTGCAAAGGGCAGGAAGGGGCCCCGGTGTTGTGCCCAACAGCTGTAAGGGGAAGCAGCGTTGAGAAGCTACCCTCATTCTGTGATGTCAAAACTACATTTTGGGGCTTCCCTGGTGGTGCAGTGGTTTAGAGTCCACCTGCCGATGCAGGGGACATGGGTTCGTGCCCCGGTCCGGGAGGATCCCACATGCCACGGAGCAGCTGGGCCCGTGGGCCATGGCCGCTGAGGCTGCGCCATCCGGAGCCTGTGCTCCGCAACGGGAGAGGCCGCAACAGTGAGAGGCCCGCGTACCGCAAAAAACAAAACAAAAAAACCCTACATTTTGCTCCATCTGTGAACAAACGGAACTAACTCACCATCTCCTTCCGAGTGTCGCTGAGTTCCGACACCACCTCACTCATCTTCACGCTACACTGCTGCTGTAGCTCAGCAAGGCGACTCTGCAAAGACTTATTTTCCATAGTCAGGGAGCTAATTTCTTCACTCACATGTTATTGAACTGTCCTGAGTGGCTGTAAACTCTTGGACAGATGACAAGATGTGTCTTGCCTGAGCTAGAAGAATCAAACATTATTACAACATCTATGTTGAAAGGATGAGTGTAAACAAAACATGTTCAATGCATTTTGAATAACACGGGCTACATGGCTCAAAAACACTGACCGGCATGGAGACTGGAAAAGGGACACGTACGCCATTGAAATGACCTCATCAGGCCTCTTTATCCCCCGCCGTGGATGAGGACCAACAGGCAAAGAGCAACAGTCTCAGAGACCTAGAGAAGGGGCCTCAGGGAAAGGCCACCATTAGGAGGTCTGCCTGAACGCGCTCTCACACAGCACCGACTGCTGCTCCAGGCCTGGCCCTGCTCCACGACTGGGAAAGCAGACAGTCCTGCTGCTAGCCCTGACAGGGTGTAGGTTTATGCGGTCAGGATCCAGGGCCGCCAGCTTCTCAGGGCGCCCTGATTCCAGAAGGTGAAGCTGAGGGGCCAAGACACTGAGTGGAAGGCTCGAGCCTATGGTGCAGCTAAGTTGGGAGATCCAGGCAGATCGGGGTCTGCTGGAAGGAGAGAGCTGGCAGGTCCCTGCTCCCCCTGGGGCACGTGAGGCTACAATCAGGCTGTGGGGAAAGAGAAGGTGGCCCTGGGGACACAGCATGTCCCCGTCTCACACCCTGACTCTGGATGTGGGGTCCCCTGTGTGCCCCTGTACCCAGGCACCAGGCAGAAGAAAACCCAAGTCCCCTCTGGGGAGGGGCCACATCTTCCTGGGCCTCAAATCATTGCCACCAAAAGGTCAGCAAATCCAGGGCCCTGCATTCAGTCAAATGCTCAGAGGATTCGGAGAAGACAGCGGCAGCATTTTAGTCTCTCCAAATCCCCACGTAAAAACAGAGCAAGGAGAAGCAAACACCCAGGAAGAGCGATGCCAACACCACTGGCTGATGACACACCTCCAGGAAGCCTGGAGCGTCAGCAGGTGGGAAACGACAGCCACAGGCCGCGTGGAGTCCTCCATGTCTGCCACCTCCCGAGAACCCAGATGCTGTGAAGAGGACCATCAGGACGCTCCCTGCAGCACAGTGAGGCAGTGACGCCAGTGAGGCGGTCCAGCGAGACACGGGGACCAGCGCCCTGCAGTGGGGCGCAAGCACCTGCCCGCAGAGCCCTGGGCCAGCTCGCCGAGGAACACCTCGCTGCTGTGCAGGGGGCTGCAGCCACTCCAGTGCCTGCCCACCAGGTCAAGGAGAGCCACCTCCAGGGTGGCCTTCTTCCCAGGCGGCACGGCCAAGTGCAAATTGGGACACACCTGCACGGAAACAAACCACGAGCGTGGCTTTTTCCCTGCCTGAAACCAGTGGGTACGATGCAGCACTAGGTGTGTGCGCCACGCTGATGCCCCATCCCACCGCCTACAAGCACGATGGCGGTTCACACACCACAAGCCTGCAGGCGTGGCTCATGGGATCCACCTCCCCACCCCTGCACGTGTGTCCACATCTGTGGGGCGGGGACAACATCTCACACTGGGAGGAACGGCGAAACTGTCACCCTAGTGTAACAGTCAGGAGACCGGTCGGTTCCCAGGGACAGCTGTCCTGGGCCCTCCTGAACCAGCCCCAGCGATTCTGGGAGGGAGGAGAATAGTCTCGGCCTGAACGGTCACTGGAGCCCCGGAGGCCCTAAGTGCAGCGCAGCCCACGCGGGACTAGAGGGAGGGCTGGCCGGGACGGCGCAGGCACAAGGCTGCCGAGGCTCCACCCCGGGCCCAACCACACCAGGACCGCAGTCACTGGCATTCACGGCAACGCTGTCTTGTCTTCCGTTTAGAAATTGTTTTACCAATTTTAAGGGATTACTGCAGAAAGCGGGGTGGCTCCTGCCCACTTTCTGAGCGCCTAGGGAACAATTCCTGGGTCCGGGGATTTGGGGAGTAAATGCCAGCAGTGCCAGAGCTGGGGACGAGCCCCGCCGCCCCTCACAGCCCGGCGCTCCCCACTGTTACACAGATAAAGGGCTTTTCTCCTCGAGGCCGTCTGGAACAGCCAGCGAGACCCTGAAGGGAGCGTGGGAGTGGCCTGGGCCACTTGAGCCGGGACAGCCCTCACTCCTGGCATCACTGCGCACCCACGGGAGCCCCAGGAGCACCGGGAAACACATGCCCGCAGAGGGGACACTGCTCTACCCGAGGTCACACCAGGGGCGGGCCGGTCGGCGTGGGAACACTGAGGCCGGCCGCTGGCCCCAAAGAGCCGAGGCTGGGAGCACCTGTGGGCATCAGCACACATACCTCCGCCGGGAGCTGCGCTGGACGCTCAGCCGCAGGCGTGGGTGATGGAGCCGCGGTGCCCAGCGCGGTCAGGCTTCTGCCTTCCACCCGGCAGAAGGGTCGTGCCCTCTCCAAGAGGACGATCTCACCACAGGGTCAGAGTGCTCAGAGGAGGGGGCGCCGCAGGCAGCGCCCCTCCTGCAAAGTCCCAACCCCACAGCAAGGGCCAGCCCGTCAGGCGAGGCTCCGCCCGGGGTGACACCCATCTGGGGACAGGGAAGGCCCAAGCACATTCCCAGCTCAAGCAAGTCCTCATTTTCCTTCCTTCACTCAATCCAGTGAGAGACTAAAGAGGCGAACAGACAGCGGCCAGACGAGCCGTGAAAGCAGAGCTCAGCCCCGCGGCCTGCGGCTGGAAGCCACCCACCACCTACGATGGGCCCAGCGTCCCTGATTCTATGTCTCCAGCTCAGGACCAACCACAGGGGGCCAGGCGCTCCCCTCACCAACCTCGTGGGACGCCCCCTTCCAGTCCCAGCCCCCGGCCTCCCTGGGCCGCAGCCCCTGTCAGGGCACCTGTGCCCCTTCTCTGCTGGGACACTCTCCCCCAGCGCCAGCCTGGGAGTGACGTGGCAGGGCCAGCCCCCTGCCCCGCGAGCCCGGAGGGCAAGCCACCCACTGTCTGCTGGGTGGTCTTCACCCGTGCCCCAAACTTTGAGAATGTCTCCATCTCCAATTGGGCCAGTGACAAGGGTGACAAAGCATCGTCCACAACCGCTCTGGGTGACTCTGGGCGAGAACTTGCACTCCCAAACGAGGATGTGTCTTCGGAGAGCCAAAGGATGCACACCCAGGACCCCCGCTCCCGAGGGCGCCGTGGGTGGCTCCAGCCGGCGGGACGAGGAGGCCGCGTAAGCCAGCGCCCCTGGGAGGACACTTCCACCTCAAGGCCCTTTGCACCACGGGGAGAGGCGAGCAGCCTGGGAGCGCGCTTCTAAGAGAACGGGGCGGTGACAGCGCCGCGGAGCAGTTCACCTAAGAGCTGCGCTCACCTCGGGGTCGTGTCAGCACTGAGGAAGGAAGACGCGGCCTGACAGAGGACGGCGGCCCCATGGCCTCCACACCTGGCTCAGCTCACGCACACTGTGTGGCCTCTGCTGCTCGGGCCCCCAGGCCGCCGAGCGGGAACAGGGCCCCAGCTCCGGCCCTCCTCCAAGCAGCTCAGACACTCCTGGTTCGCAGGGGCCCGGAGCATCCCGCCACGCACCCTTCGCTTCCTGTGCTTTTCCGAGCAGGCAAAGGATTTAACCCCTTTTGCGTCAATAAACTTGTCTTCTGAGAAGGAGGGGCTGAGCCAGGGTGGGGTCGGTGGGGTCTGCAACAGAGAAGGGGGCAGAGCCCTCACCACCAGGCGCCCTGGGCTCAGGGGCCGGCACTGCAAGTTAAACAGCTGTGCGCGCATGCATGCATGTGTGTGCCTGTGTACGGATGCACGTGCACACGCAAATATGGAAAATCCACCAAAGAGTAACAGAACTGAAGTAGTAACTTCAACAAACGGATCCACTGATTACTGTATGTCCTCTCACCAGAACTATATGTAACAAAGATGAGTCAAGTGGGTAACACCTTAAGATCTGGAAGCTACAGGGGATTTAACAACTTGTTCCTACCGGAGACACTGTCGATGCGTCGGATCTAAGACCCTCCCTCCCCAGCCGCTGAGCCACTTCCTGGGCACCTCGGGGCCCGGCACCCCACAGCCCAGGGCCCTCCTCCCAGGGCAGGCTCTCCTCTTGAGGTCCCTCAGCCTGACCGCCCTGGACCCTCCTGCACGTGGACTCTGCAGGCACCCAGGCTCAAATCTGCCCCACAAGGCTGCCCTCTGGCCAGGTCTCCCCTCAGGGCTCCGTGAACAGAGCCACACCCAGGGCGTCCCCAGCAAGTGCTCGTGACCTGAGCGGACGGACACCACTGTCATCTGGCGGCCCAAGCCAGAGACCACCGGGACAGCCCTCCCCCGCAGTTCCCTGTCCATCACCATACGTCACCAAGTCCACCCAACCAGCGCCAGCTGGCCACCTCTGCCCTTTGCTGGGACTGGTCTGCCGTATCCACTCAGACGGACCCACTGCCCGCCCCCCACAACTCAAATGCCCACCGGCCACTCCATGCCGTCCCCTGCCCCCAGCCCGGGGACCTGGCCTCCCCCCACCATGCGGCACTGCGCTCCCTCACTTTGACCTGCGACCTGTGCTCTTCTGTCCCCCACCTCCAGCCCAGGGCCTCCACACAAGCCCACACCCACACAGCACAGCTGAGCCTGGCCACCAGGGGCCAGCAGAGCAAGCCACACTGGGACTGGGGGCCGGCCCACAGAAGCACAGTCTGAATGCTTCAAAACCCTCCAGGACGTAGACGATGGGAGGACGCAGAAACACTTCCAGCTCACAGGCGTCTGAGACACGACGCTAAGATACGCCACATGCGCCGGACAGGATCCAGGACCCGAACACGCATCCACGCATCCCCACGCACACATACATGTGTAGATGCGTGTGTAGGGACACACACGTGAGGTCTCAGGACGTGGAGTAAATGCGGCTGGTGCCTCGATGCCACGGCCTGCTCTGCAGTGGCCACGGGGCACTGGGCAGCCACCATCACGACCCACCAAAGTCCCCACGAGCTCACCTGCACAAGCCTCAGGCAGGGGCTAGTTTCGCTCACACTGGGAGGTTTCTGACGCCTTTTCCATATTCGTGCAAACAACACTCTCAATTAACTTATTTAATTTCCCTTGTCTTTCATTTTTGAAACTGTAACAGTAGCCACCGTCATAACTGGGCCCATGTATGTATCCGGAAGAAACTGTGTGTGAGTCAGAGTGTACGCACAGACCAGGAACCTAAACCACAGGTGTTCTACAAGTGTCAACTTCCATTCATAGAGAAGATTCTTTCCTAACACACCTTAGGGAGTCGCGCGCACACACAATGAAGAGGAACGAGGGCAAGCAGCGGGGCCGGGGCCACCTGGACGAGGGGCAAAGCGCCGCGGGGCGGGGCGGGGGGGCTCGCCACGCGCCGGCCCTGCATCCTCGGCTCCGCCCAGCCCCGCTGGAGCTGCCCCTCCGCTTCCCCGGGCCCTTCCTGCTGCTGTGCTGACTCAGGACTCAATAGATGCCGTGGCTCTGCTGCATTAAACAACATTTTAAAAGCTTTATTTCAGGCTCCCAACAGTGTACCGTATCTGTCAAGTATACTCCTTCCGTGGGGTGAACGGGAAAAGAAGGCCGAGTGGATAACACACACCAGCCCACCCTGCTGGGAACCTGCAGCGGTCACTGCCCACAGCGCCCCAGGGGAGGGTGACCCAGCCGCACTCAGGAGAAACTGTTCGGCCGAGGAATCAAGACAGACACGACGGTCAACAGAACCCAGAGACTCCGGCCCACTGAATTAACAAGGGCACCAAGGTTATTAAATGAAGAGAAAGACAGTCTTCTCAACAAATGGCACTGGCACAAGTGGACATACGTGGGGGGACAGGCGGGCAGCCTGACCCACTATCTCACGCCACACCCCGAAATTCACTCAAAAGAGCGGCTCTCAGACCTAAGCACTGACCCCCATCACGTGGACCGGTCCGTGGGAGGAACCCTCCACAAGCAGGGGCAGCACACCAAAAAGCACGACCACGAAGGGAAACACGAAGAACTGGATTTCACTGAAATAACACTGCTCTCGGGAGCACTCCTTAGAAAACAACAGGCAAGCCACAGAGTGGGCAGAAACTTGCAGTACTATACCTGAGAAAGGGCTTGTGTTCAAACACCATGAAGAAGTCTTATGCCTCAACACCAAGAAAAGAAAAGGGGAGGGGAACAGACAGGAACAGAAACGCCACAGAAGATGTGAGCCCATGGAGAGGCTGTGGTGACTTGTTTTCAGGAGATGCTAATTAAAACCAACAAGAGATACCACCATACACCCAGGACGGGAGCCAGCGTTAGAGAGACTGACAGTCCCAGGAGCTGGCGGGGACGCCAAGGCAGAGGTGGTCCTGCAGCAGGGAAGCCCCAGCCCGCCGCGTCTTCATGGAAAGCTCTCAGGAACCCACAACTCAGAAGCAGCAGCAATGGAGCTGAAGCTCACACACACGTCCTGGCGGAAGAGCCCCCGCAAAGGGCATGAAGTTCACGTGCACGTCCTCACCAACGTGCAGCTGGAGCCGGGAGTCCCCTCGTGGCCGGCAGGGACTCCCTCCCTCCGGCACAGGACGCTTCCTCCCTGTCTGCTTAGACATCTCACTTCTTCCCTATCCCTGTAACTGATCTGAGGAGGGACCTGATATAAACAGCCCTGCAACATGACTACATCCACCTCAAATACACTGACTTCTCCTTTTGTAATTCCATGATCCAAATTACTGATATTTACAAGTGCACAAGATTTCATGAAGATTCTGCATTTAAAGGTAAGTTCTCTAAGAAGGCATCAACCTCCCAGAAAGGCTGCAAGCGCTGGCCCTCTCCCTGGAGCAGCAGCCTACCTTGGAGCGCTGGAAGCTGGCCTCTTGCTCCTGCTGGCTGGAACTCGTGCTCCCAGGAGGGCTGCTCAAGCCCCACCCACACTCGGCAATGAGGTTCAGGGCCGCCTCATCACCCGCGTCCATGACAAGCACTTCTTGGCCGAGGGGGCAGCGCACTTGGCTCCGGAGTGATGCAGTCTGCAAAGAAAAGCAAACCCAGTGCTGTGCTGCAGCCCACAGAGCACTCCAGCCATACAGACCCCGGGAGGGAGACGCCTATACCGCGAGCACGGCCACAAGGTCTCCGAGGAGGAGGAGCTGGTGTCTCTACCACAGTGAAGCTGGAGCGGCTCAGCCAGGACAGCTGGTCGCCACAACAGGATTCATTCAAGGACAGAAGTCCCAAGAAGCTCCCCTGTGCTAGGATCTCCTAGCACGTCCACAGTGCCATACGTGCGATCAAGAAAGTTCAAGGAGGACTCCCCTGGGGATCAGTGGCGAAGACTCCCTGCTCCCAATGCAGGGGCGAGGGTTCGATCCCTAGTAGGGAACTAGATTCCCCCATGCCACGTAGCGCGGCCAAAAAACAAACCAACAAAAAAGCAAGTTCAAGGATGTGGTGTTCCGACTTTCTATTTTCACATTAAGTGAAAACATTTCCCTACCAACTGAAATGTGAGGTTTTAGAATAGGACGTCCCTCCATACAGAGGTACATACCTCATTTCCAACAAAGACAGCTTAAGAAATCACTCTTCAAAATAGAACTCAATCACATACTATGAATATTGATTTTATGATACCTTATCATACTTTGAGAGATCAATGAATGATATTCCTTATTTTCTCATACTGAAGGTGTTCCAGATCCCTGCAGAAAGAAGGGGACTTGGTTCTCCTTCGGGGTCTGACCACAGAAACCTGACAGTGGACACATGCAGCCTCTCTGGGTATCCACTGTCACCTCTGGATAACAGGACATTGCACCAGATCACCTAAACCCTGTGGTAGCTTAGTCTTCGGATAATCAAGGACAGGTAAACTACAAAGCACTGCTGAAAGAAATTAAAGATGAGATAAATAAATGGAAACACACCCCGCGTTCACTGATTGGAAGACTTAACACTGTTAAAATGTCAATACTACCCAAAGCAATCTACAGAATCAGTGCAATCCTATCAAAATCCCAATGACGTTTTTTGCAGAAACAGAAAAACCCATCCTAAAATGAGTCTGGAATCTCAAGGGACTTCAAATAGCCAAAACAACACTGAAAAAGAGCAAGCATTAGAGCTAGACTCAGATATGGCAGAAATGCCGGATGAAATCAGACCCTGATTTAAAACAACTATGAGAAATAATGCTAAAAGATCTAATGGAAAAAAGAGACAACATGAAAGAACGGATGGGAATGTAAACAGAGAGATGGAAATTCTAAGAAAGAAGCAAACAGAAGCGTTAGAGTCAAAAACACTGTAACAGAAAAGAACACCTCTGATGAGCTCTAGACTGGGCATGGCTGAGGAAAGGATCTCGCAACTTGAGAATATATCAATAGAAACCTCCAGAACTGAAAAGCAAAGATTAAAGAAGACTGAAAAAAAACCAGAACAGAATACCCAAGAATCGTGGGACAACTACAAAAGGTGTAACATACACATTTGACAATACCAGGAGAAGAGGGAGGCGAACCCAAAAAATATTTGAAGATGACTTAAAATTTCCTTAAGTTAATGTCAGACACCAAATCACAGAAACCAGGAAGCTCAGAGAACAGTGGCAGAGTAAATGCCAAAAAAATTACAGCGAGGAATATATTCTACTGGAGAAAACCTAAGACAAAGAAAAAAATCTTGAAATAGGCCAGAGGGGAAAACCATGCAAGCAAAAATAGAGTGAAAGACTTAGTATGGAGACAAAAAAACTACCAACCTAGAATCTGTACCCTGCAAAATTATCCTTCAAAAGTGAAGGAGAAATAAAGACTTTCTCAGATAAACAAAAACTGAGGGAATTTGTTGCCAGTAGACCTGCCTGGTAAGAAACATTAAAAGAAGTTCTTTAGAGAGAGAGAGAATGACACAGGTCAGAAACTCAAATCAGAGAAGAAATAAGTGAAGGCAGAATAAAAACTTCTATTTTTCTTACAATCTAACAGGCAACAGTTTGTTTGAGATAATAGCAACAATGTACTCAATACGTTATGTTCAGGTATTACACGCAGGGTTATAGTTTGGGTATAAATGAAATGAATGACAGCAATGATAAAAGGGACAGGAGGGAGGAATTAGGAATATTTTGTTATTATAAGGTACTTGCACGACCTGTGAAGTGGTATAGTGTCTGAAAGTGGTCTTGGAGTACTTGTAAATGTACATAGGCAGACCTTGGAGATATTGAGGGTTCAGCTCCAGACCACCACAATAAAGCAAATACTGCAATAAAACAAGTCACACCATTTTCTTGGTTTCCCAGTGCATCTAAAAGCTATGTTTCCACTGTACTGTAGTCTATTAAGTGAGCAATAGCATTATGTTAACAAACAATGTACATACCTTAATTAAAAAATGTTTTCTTGCTAAAAAATGCTCACCGTCATCTGAGCCTGCACAAGTCATAGCAGCAGCATCAGAGATCACTGCTCACAGAGCACCACAGTATAAAGAGATGGAAAAGAGCGAAATATTGCAGGAATTACCAAAGTGCGACACAGAGACATGAAGTGAGCGAATACCACTGGAAGAACAGCACCAACAGATCTGCCTGACGCGGGGTGGCCACAACCCGCAGCCTGTAGAAACACGATATCCGCAAAGCACGATAAAGCAAAGCACGAAAAGCGAGGTCTGCCTGTCCTGTGCACTCCAGAGCAGCCACTAAAAGTGAAAACATAACTGACATGCTAAGGAAAGAAAATGGAATCATAAAATGATCATTTAAAATCACAAAAGGAAGGAAGCGATCAGAAGACAAAAACAGGAACAAGGGCGACAAGTAGAAACAGCGAACATGCAGCTATTAATCCAACTGTATCAATAACCACTTTAAACATCAATGGTCTAAATGTACCAAGTAAAAGGCAGAGGTTGTCAGCGTGGATCAAAATAAAAGGCCCAACTACATGTTACCTAAAGAAACCCACTTTAAATATAAAGACACATAGATTAAAAGTAAATGGATAGAGAAAAATAGACCATGCTGACACCACTCAAAAGAAAGCAGAAGTAGCTACACTACTTCCAGACAGAGCTGACTTCGGAGCAGGGAGAGTGATCTGGGATAAAGAGGGGCATGACGTGAGGACGACTGGCCGGTTCTCCAAGAAGACATAACAGCCCCTGACATGTCTGCGCCTAATAAGACAGCATCAGACTACGTGGTGCAAAAACTGATAGAACTCAAGGAGAAATGGATGGATCCACTTCAACACCTCTCCTTCAGAAAGGGGTAGATCCAGCAGTCAGAAAGTCACTAAGGACATAGCTGAACTCAGCACCACCCATCACCTGGATGTAGTGACATCTACCTCATCCAAACAACAGGATACACATTCCCCCCAAGCTCACATGGAACATTCACCAAGACAGAGTCATTCTGGGCCCTAAAACACACTTTTACATATTTAAAAGAAAACAAATCATATGATATTTGTTCTCAGGACACAGTGGAATTAAACTAGTAATAAAATAAATAACAGAAAGATAACTGGGAAATCTCAAAAAACTTGGAGATTAAACAACATATTTCCAAATAACACGAGTCAAAGAAATCTCAGAAGTATTTTGAACTAAAATATTTCAAAATAAAAATATTTTGAACTAAATTAAAAAGAAAATACATCTTATCAAAATTTGTGGGATGCAGTGAAAGCAATGCGTAGAAGGAAATTTGTAACACTGAATGTATATATTAGAACGAAGTAAGCTCCGAAATCAATAATCTAAGCTTCTAGCTTAGGAAACTAAGAAAATAACAAATTAAATCCAAAGCAGGAGGAAGAAAAGAAATAATAAAAATTAGGGCAAAAATCAATGAAACTGAAAACGGGAAAAAAAAAATCAACCAATCCAAAAGCTAGTTCTTTAAAAAGATCAACAAAATGGAAAAACCTCTATGCCACCAGGTTACCTAAGGAAAAAACGGCGCAAATTACTAATATCAGAATTAAAAGAAGGAGCACAGCAGGAACTGTTCTGTGGACAACAAGAAGATAACAGAGGAACACTTTGACACTCTATGCCCACAAATGTGATAACCTAGATGAAATGGAATGGTTCCTGGAAAGACACAATCTACCAAAACCAACACCAGTAAAAATGGATAATCTGAACAGACTGGTATTTATTACAGACTTGAATCAATAATTGATAGCCTCCTAAAGCAGCAGGTCCAGATGGGTTCATTGGTGAATTTAAGGAAGAAATTATACCAATTCTCTACAATCTTTTCCATAAGACAGAAGCAGAAACAGAGGGAATACACCCTAACTCATTCTATGAGGACAGCATTATCTTAATACCAGAACCAGCAAAGACAATACAAGGAAACTATAGACCAGTTATCCCTCATGAACACGGATGAAAAAATCCCCAACAAAGTATCAGCAAATTGAGTCCAACAATGTATAAAAAGAAGTCTACACCACAGCCAAGTGGGATTTACTCCAGGTATGCATAGCTGGTTCAATACTTGAAAGAAATCAGTGTAATCCATCACATCAACGGGCTCAAGAAGAAAAGTCATATGACCATATCAATAGACACAGAAAAAGCATTTGACAAAATCCAATACCCATTCATGATGAAAGTGGTCAGTCAACTAGGAATCAAAGGGAACCTCCTTGACCTGATAAAGAACACCTATGAAAGCCCACAGCTAACATCACACCTGGTGGTGAGAAAGCATTTGACAAAATCCAATACCCATTCATGATGAAAGTGGTCAGTCAACTAGGAATCAAAGGGAACCTCCTTGACCTGATAAAGAACACCTATGAAAGCCCACAGCTAACATCACACCTGGTGGTGAGAAACCAGCTGCTATCCTGCTGAGATCAGGAACAAGGCAAGGATGTCCCCTCTACCCACTGCTTTTTAACATTGTACCGGAAGTCCAAGCTAACACAATAAGACAAGAAAAGGAAATAAAAGGTATACAGATTGGGAAGGAAGATATAAAACTATCTTTGTTCACAGATGACATACCAACCATCTATGTAGAAAATCTCAAAGAATCGACCAAAAAACAAACAGAAACTCCAGGAACTAATAAGTGACTCTAGCAAGATTGTAAAATTCAAGATGTATGGGTCACATTGTGTCCCCTAAAAAAGAGATGCCAAAGTCCCAACACCCCATACTTCAGAATGTGACCTTATTTGGAAATAGGGTCTTTACAGAGGTAATCGAGTTAAAATGAGGAAATTATGGGGAGCCCTAACCAATACTACTGGTGTCATTATAAAAAGGGGAAATTTGGACACAGGACAGGCAAGCACAATGCGGAGTTCTGTGAAAAGGCACAGAGAGAAGACAGCCATATGAAGAAAAGGACTGGAGGGAGGCATCTACAAGCCAAGGAACACCGACAATTGCCAGCAAAGTACCAGGAGCTGGAGTCATAGAATGGATTCTCTCCCAGAGCCTCCAGAAGGAAGCAACCCTGCCAACACCTTGATTTCAGACTTGTAGCCTAAGAACTGTAAGACAGTAAGTTTCTGTTATTTTAAGCCACCCTGTCCATGGTACTTTGTCACCATCAGCTGTACACAAGTCAAATACCAGCAATGAACAACTGGAATTTGAAATTAAAAAACCTAAATTAGCCTCAAAAGAACAACATGCTAAGGTATAAATCTAACAAAATATGTACAACATCTGTATCAGGAAAATCACCACCCTCTGATAAATGAAATCAAAGAAGAACTGAATAAATGGAGAGATATTCCATGTTCATGGATAAGACTCAATAGTGTCAAGATGTCAGTTTCTTCCCAACTCAATCTGTAATTCAATGCAATCCCAATCAAAATCCCAGCAAGGTAGTTTGTGGATATTGACAAACTAATTCTAAAATTTATACGGAAAGGAAAAAGACCCAGAACTGGCAACTCAATATTAAAGGAGGCCAAAGTCAGAGGACTGTCTCCACGTGACTCACAAAACTCACGCAAATGTGGACGGGGCTAGAAAGCTCTGTGGGGTCTCTTTCATAAGAGAACACCAATTCCATTCATGAGGGCTCCACCTTCAGGACCTAATCACCTCTCATGGGCCCCATCTCCTAAACCCATCATGCTGGGGGTTAGGATTTCAGCATACGAATCTGGGGTACACAATACACAGACCATTCCGCAGGGTACCACGTGCAGCTGTCTACCCAGCAATTAGTTTGATTTGAAATAGGGAAGTGAGGGGAGGGGAGCTCCAAGGGAGGCATCTGAGGGAAGGGGAGATTCTAGAGATTTGAAACTGATCTTAGAACAGAAGTTGGCAAAGTATGGCCCACAGGTCAAATCTGACCCACTGCCTGTGTTTGTAAACAAAGTTTTATTGGAACACAATCATTAGTTTATGTATCGCCTATAGCTGCTTTCATACTACAAAGGCAGGGTTTAGAAATTGAAGCACAGATCATATGGTCCACAGAGTTGAAAATATTCTCCCCAGCCCTTTACAAAAAAAAGTCGGCCGACCTCTACATTAGAGAAATTTACAGATGAGCTAAGGCATACAATGAGAGAGAAAGAAAACTATTAAAAGCCTCAAACAAATCAAAATGGTGTACAAGAAGGAGTATATAATCCTCGTACATCACAAGCAAGGTAAACACCACACACATGAAGACTGTATGCTTTCAGAGCACATTTAAACACTACCCACCCTGACAATCTAAAGTTAGACATAAAGATGCAGACGGCAGGAGCTGGGAGATGGTGAGAAGCCGGGCACAGGCTCCCACAGCCCAGCCAAAGCAGAGTGGGAGCCCTGGTCACAGAGCACTGAAAGAGAACGCGGGAAGGAGCAGAGCCAAGCACTAACACCGCCAGGGTGGGGAGAGGAGGCTCCAGCAGCTGTCAGATCTGCTCAAAGTGCTCACATCCAGAAATAGCCAAGATCTGCGTTGTTTAGAGATCAGAAAGTAACTGAAACAGAACCTGGAAGCAGAAACAGTTACAGAAGGGAAAGCGGCTGCCTCTGAGGAGCGGGCCAGGAGTAGAGAGAAAGGACTGCTGCCTCTCACCGCAGGTCTTTTGTGCCACATATTTTACATCCATCACTTTAATAAACATTTTAAATATTTTTAAAAATACCATATAGAAAACGTGGACGACAGGAAGAGAGGCTGTCCCACAGTCTCCTTGATCCCCAGCTGGTATCCAGCGTTTCTCCCCACGCTCCCCTGGATGTCTGTCCTCTAGGGGGCAATCGGCACTTTAGTTAATACCACTCCTGTTCATACCTTTCGACTCCGAAAACGGCCGGGAAGGTGTGCTTTGAGTCCAACGATTCCTCCGAAGCCAAATGCAGCCGGGATGCTCTCCGCTCACTCTCCCTCACAGGGCGGTCATCTAGGGTGGAGGTGCCGCAGAGGAACTAGCAGGCCACGAGGCAGGTGGCAGGGCCCAAAACCAAACCCCGCGGTGTGCCTGCCGGCCTCCCCTCAGGACTAAAGGTGCCCCCTTGCCCAGCCAGCCACACATGGCGTGTGACCAGGACTGCCATCCCTTGTTCTGGGGACCTTCCCTCCCCTTAGGGCTGACCCCACCACGGCATCCCCCAGATCACTGGGCAGACCCAGGAAAGCAAGGCTGGGCTCCGGGGGCTACATCTGGTTTACCAGCAATGCCGAGCACTGATTCCCAGAGGGCCGGCAGCTCGCACCAGGCTTGCACCTCGGATGCCCCGGAGGCAGGAAAGGAAACACACACACACAAGTTCTCACGCAGGCTCGTCCTTCTCATCTCCTCTTAACGCACATCCTGGGTGCTGGGCGAGGTTCCCAACCACACTGACACCCCTAGCAGGTGTCCATGGGCGAGGAGCCTGAACACACTGGAGAGAAGACGCCCTGGCCATGTGTTGGCGCCCAGGGTTTACATCCTCAGATCCTTGGGACCAGAACAGGAGACAGAGCCAAGTTTAAACTGTCCCCGCGTGTGCCCTGGGTCCAAGAAGACCCCACTCGTCCACAACTGCACCTCCTCAGAAGCACCCGAGGGGGGCTCCCCTCCCAAACGCCAGAGCTCGGCCCTCGGGATGGCTGCCACAGAGCTCCTAGGGAGCACTGAGCCCACAGCACCCCGGGAGGTGCACCAGCTCAGTGAGAAACGGGGGAATGAGGAGGTGCCCAGTACCCACTTCCACAGGTGTGGCCACCGCACAGCAGCCCCGACCCGCACGTGGGACGCCCCTGGAAGCCCCTCTGTCCTCTCAGGGACGCCATCCACCACACACCAGCCTGGGGCCTCCCGTCTCAGGGCCTGGACGCTGCTGTCATGCCGACAACACGTGACTCTACTTGCCCAGCCTGAACTTCGCTTCGGCGTCAGTTCCACGTCCCTTACTCTGAGCATCCTTCTCTGGACGGTTCCACTCTAAATTCAAACTCAATATGACTAAAATTAGATGCAAACCCACCTTGTCCCCCAGACCGCATGCTCTCCTCACTGCGGCACTGTCCCAGACCCCGGCCCAGGGCGCCCCAGATCACTCTGGTGGCACCCTGCTGGGAGAGAGGGCCTTCCGAGCGTCCCCCACTCCCGCACTGACTGGCCCCAGTTATGCTCCCACCTCACGTCTGAAAGCACCTTTCACGTGTGGGAAGGCTCTCACAACCCCTTCTCTATACAAGCAGTCTAAGACTGAATTTACAACTTTCATCACAAACGGAAACAAGTGATTTAAGACTGAAGACTGTAAAAACTTTCCATAAGGATTGTCACGCTTCTGTGAAAGAGTCAAATTCAATTGTTTACAGGATACATAAGAGTCAAATAAAAGTTAGAACACAAGCACTTAATCCTCCCAAATATCTAAAAATTAACATTAAATGTCGAAATTCTAAGTAGGTTTGAAACTAAACAGCATGCCTCTGAGGGTCAGTGCCCCTAGGCCCAGGCAGGCACAGCCTAAGGGTGCGGCCAGGCTCCCCAGAGCTCACGGCCCGCCAGGACCGGGGTCCAGGAGGTAAGCCAACGCACGCGCGCAGCTGGGGTGTTCATGAGACAAGCTGTGTGCAGCTGAGAGGTGCCACTGGTGGGGTGTCTACAGGCCCTGGTAGACCCTGAAAGGACAAGAGCCATGGTCTGCCCACCATGGAGCCCAGCATTTACCTGACAGATGCTGCCATGATGTTGGTCTCATTTTGGTTTGGGTAGCTCAGTCCCTGGGAGGTGGAGACGCCCCGAAAGCCCCCCAGCCTCCCCGGGCTGTCAAGGGCCCTCAGGACGGAGGACACGCCATGATCACTGGGGGCACAGAAGGACCACCCTCCTCCAATCAGACACCGCTGCACCACGAATCAGCACTTCACACAGGAGGACCCGGGTCCGAGACTCCAAGCCCTCCTTCCCCAGGGTTTCCACGGCCAGCATGCCCTCTCCCCGGGAAGTGCGACATGGGGGCGGGCATTAGCAGTGCCCTGGCCACACTGCTCACAGCAAAGTGGCTCCTGAGAGCCGGGACAGTGGGTGGGAAGATGCTGTGGCTTCCCCAAGCACAACCCTCCTGACTGGGCACGGCTGGTGGGCACCCTGGTCGCTCAGCCTGCGAGCCTGAGAGATCCGGTTCTTTTAAGGCTACGGGCCACTGAGCCAAGGTGGTGACTGCACCTGCCAACAGGACCTCACACTCTCGTGCCTGTCACCTGGGGAGGGCGTGGCACTATGAACTTCCCGCCCATGTCCTCCCAGGTGGACGTAAAATCAGGTTGAACCCAGGTGTCCAGCTGAGCCTGAGACGATGCCCAGGAGACCATGCCAGGAAACAGGGCACCAGGAACAGCTAGAAAGCAGAGCCAGCCCATGCCTGTGCCCGTGGCCCAGCAGCCATCTGTGGCCGCAAGGAAGGGGCTCCCTGCCACCTTCCAGGCAGCTCTCCTGTGAGAGGAGGAAATCAGCTTCCCTTTCCAGAAGGGTCAACAGCGCCATCACCCCAAGAACACGAGACACCCATCGGGCAGCACCAAGCGAGGCCCAGAGTGCTGCCGGCCTACGCAGCTGCCGCAGCCGCGGGAGCATGCGCACCACGAAGAGGCGGTAGTCAGACTTGCTCTCCACCACAGGGTACAGCCGGAAGTGCACTTCCGCGAGCTCCGTTAAGCAGTGGAGCCGGAAGACCTCCGCCAGCGAGGAGATGCGGATGTGGTAGACGCTGAGACGCTCCAGCGCCGCCAGGTACTCCATGCCCTGCCAGGACAAACACGGCAACACGAACCAACCCCCAACCTCACAGACGCGCCCGAAACGCACACGCACCATCACCGGGAGAGCAAGGGGGGTAGGTATTGCTCAGCTGGGAGTCCTGCGCCCCCACGGTGAGACGGCCGCGCGTGCCAACCGCGGGGAGAGGACAGCCGACGCCTGCTGTGTGGATGAAGAGAACGACGGCTGATAAAGGACGAAGGGTGACTGGCGTGCACACATTCATCTTTCGGGCCTGATCTTATTTCCTTTACAGATACAACCATCTTCATCAGAGAGCTATGACTTCTCGTTAAAGTAGTTCCAAGACATAATGTGATGCATAAGAAATCCAGCTCACAGCAAACACAAGAAAATCAGCACAAGACTTACAATCACTGTGAAGTGTATGGCTTACAAGTACTAGAAGCATAGTCATAAAACAGACTGCCTTATTTACCATAAATGTACTACCCACTGCTATTGACAGCAATACATTTTCTTTCTAGAAACAAACCTAAAACTTACCTCTAGACTAACCAAGGAGTTTCGTGAGAGATCTAGAGATTTTAGACCTGTTAAATTCATCAAAGAATTTCCTAGGTGAGTAATCTTTTCTTGGTAAGTTCCAGGAATAGATAATGACCAAAGTTCAGCTAAGAATAGAAAATTAAGAGATTTTAACTTTATTATTTTATTGAAAATAAATTACTGCAATAATCTATTCTCCCTCCAAAACCCTCTCACCAGGAAACCCTCCTAAGGGGGTTCCCACTTCCACACCTGACTGCTCAGCCCCACTGCCTGTGGGCCTCTGTGCAGGGATCGCAATCTGAAACCCACTCGGTAGCTGACCTGACCACCCGTGCTGTTACAGGTGAGGGCCAGCTGCACACGAGGTGCACCGAACACCTCTACGTGGCACACCCAGTAAGCAGCCGTTAGACAAACATCAGCACAAAAGTAAGCTTCTGTAATGAAAAAGACACTGTGTCTGGATACACCAGTATCTTCCCAGGAACTTTTGTTTTAAAACACATCTTGATTACATATGAAACTGGTTTTTGGGCTTCCAGTTCCAGACAAGACAGAGGAGACATATTTCGCCCTATTCCTCCCCATTTATTAGACCTAAAAACCCTGGACAAGAACACGGGAAGCAACTCTGAAGCGTGGCGACTCTGAAGCGTGGGGACTGTCTAGGGACCTGAAGAAAATGGTCAAGCACTGAGGGTTGGTTTTGTTCTGTCTCCTGTACATACATCCCGATCTGAGTGCAAGAGAAGCTGGCCACCCAGAAACACCCATGGACACCTACCAAAAGATACGGGTAAGTCTGATATCCATGGTCAAAGGACCAGGAGGGGTGGCCTTGCAGGACAGACTCCTGACAACCTGAGCCCCACTCCAGCCCAATGCCAAGAAAAAAACAAAATGTACCTCGTAAACCTGGCCTCGCACGGTGGCCAGCACCAGGACAGTGTGAGTGGACATGACTACTGCCCTGGACTGGCTGTAACGAGGCATCTGCAGTTGCTACGTGTGTGACAGGGGCCTGGCCACCACCTCAGCAACAAGGCAGCACCCAGGCAGTGCCAGTACTGAGTAACAAGATTTAAATAGGAAGCAGAGTCCCAATCAAAATGACCAGTCAAAAATGATCAAGAACTAGGAAAATCTCAATCTGAATGAGAGAAAACAATCAATAGATACCAATAATGAGATGACAGAAATTAGAATTATCTAACAAGGATTTTAAAGCAACTGATATACAAATACTTCAATGAGCAATTATGAACATGAATGAAGAAAATAGTGGTTCTTGGCAAAGAAACAGAAGATGTAAAGAAGAAACAAATTTCAGAAATGAAAAATATATTAACTGAAAGAAACAAACAGAAAACCATGGGAGCAGCTCAATAACAGAATGGAGATGACAGAGGAAAAAATTCAAAGAGATAAAATGCAAAGATAAACTGAACAAAATTGTCCTATCTGACCACCAGAAAGAAAACAGACTTAAAAAAAATGAACAGAGCCTCAGGGGCCTGTGGAAGAAGAAAAAGCAATCTAACATTCATGTCATTGGGGTCCCAGTGGAGATCCAATCAGAGTTTCAAGAAGAAAAGAAAAACAGTATGGCTAAAAATAAAAAATTTTAAGTTAAAGAAATAATGGCTGAAAACTTCCCAAATTTGGCAAAACACATAAACCTACACATTCAAGAAGTTGAGAAAACCCCAAACAGAATAAAGGCAAAAACTGACACATCAGAATCAAACTTCTGAACACTAAAGACAATGAAAGAATCTTGAGAGCAACCAGAGAGAGAGGCATTACCCAGAAGGAGAAACAACTCCCATGGCAGGGAGTTACTCCTCAGAAACCATGGTGCTGAAACAAAGGAAGTGCTCTCACATTTTTCCATTGCTGAAAGAAAAGAACTTTAAACTCAGAAATCTATATCCACCAAAAACAACCTTCAGGACTAAAGGTGAAATATAGATATTCTCAAATGAAGAAACACTAAGAGAATCTGTCACCAGCACACCTCCCTAAGATAACTGCTAAAGAAAGATCTTCAAACATTAAGGAAAGATAAAAGAAGGAAACCTGGGACATCAGGAATGAAGAAAGAATAATGAAACAGGTAAACATGTGGGTCAGTGTTTCCTCCTAAGCTATTTAAACTGTTGGATGACTATAAAAAGAAAAAGTCATATCATTACTGTGGTTCTCAGGTATGCAGGGGAAATGTCTAGACAACTAAATTATAAAGTGGGAAGATAATGAAACCTAAATGGTGGTAAAATTTCTATATTCACCTGACGTGATAAACCGTTCACACAAGTAGACTGTGCTAAATCACATACTGTATACTGTAATTTGTAGAGCAACCACTAAAAAAGCTATACAAAGAGATATGCTCAGAAATATAATAGGTAAATCAAAATAGAATACTAAAAATACTCAAGTAAACCACAGGAAGGCAGGAAATTGGAAACAAAAGAAGAAAAAACAAAGGGAACAAACAGAAAAATAAATAAATGGCTCACTTAAGCTCTGCTGTATTAACGCATTAAATGTAAATGGTCTAAATACACTATAAAAGATAGGGATTGGCACTGTAGATTAAAAATGATATACAGTATACACTGTCTACAAGAAACTCATTTCAAATATTATGATATAGGTAGGCTTAAAGGTGAAATAGCACATAGATGGGTAAAGACATACCCTGCGAACACCAAACCAAAGAAAGCTGGAGTGGCTACACTAATATCAGATAAAGTGGATATCTCACTGTAGAAAATTATCAGGGATAAGGAGGAATAATACTACATATGCTACAAGGGTCACCCCAACAAGAAGACATAAAAATTCTAAATATGTATGCACCAAATAGCACAGCTTTGTTGCCTACATATTTAGGATCTTTAAGTGAAAAGAGAAATAGATACATCCACAATTAGAGTCAGGGGTCTCAATACCCCTCTTCTGGTAATTAAGAGAATCACTAGACAGAAAATCAGCAAGGATACAAAAGAATTGAACAACGTCACAGGTCAACAAGATCAAATTGACATTTATATAACACTCCAGTCAATGACAGAGTACACATTCTTTCCAAGTGCACTTGGAACATTATAGACCAGATCCTGGGCCATAAAACAAACTTCAAATTTAAAACAATTAAGATCATACAGAGTATGTTTTCTAACCATAATGGAATCACACCAGAATCAATAACAAAAAGAAAAAAATACCAAACAAACTAGGAAAACCTCCAATCACACAAAAATGAAAAGAACACACTTCTGAACAATCCATAGGTCAAAGAGGAAGTCAAGGGAAATACACAAACACAGTGAACTAAATGAAAATGAAAATACAACATAACAAAACTTGTGGATTCAGCTAAAGTTGTGCTTAGAGGGAAACTTATAGCACTAAAATGTTTATATTATATTTAAAAAGGTCTCAAATCAGAAATCTAAACTTTCATCTCAAGAATCAAGAAAAAGAAGAGCAAAATAAATGCAAAGCAGCAGAAAGAAAATTATACAGAATCAATGAAATTTGAAACCAGAAAACCAATGGAGAAAAAACAAAAGTTGGCTCATTGAAAAGATTAAGGAAATCCATAAACCTCCAGAAAGACCAAGAAAGAGAAGACAGAGATGGCCAATAACATGGACCGGAAGAAGGGTATCACTACAGACCCCAGAGACATTAATAGGCTAATAAGGAAATACCACAAACTCTACATAAATTTAACAACTTAGATGAAATGAACCAGTTTCGCAAAACCCCAGACAACTGTAACTCACCTAAGATGAAGGTGATGATACAAACAGTTCTATAATGACTAGAGAAACTGAATTTGTCATTTAGAAGCTTCAAATACAGAAATTTCCAGGCCCATAAGGTTTCACTGGAAAACTCCATCAAACAAAGAAGAATCGGCACCAATTTCACACAATCTCTTCTGGAAAACAGAAGAAGGGGCAATTTACCAACTATTTCAGTTGGGCATTACGTGGATGACAAAACTAGACAAAAACAGGAAAACAGAAAACTAGCGACCCGTATCCCTCAGGACATGGGCCCACAGGTGCTGAGCACAGGAGGAGCAGGGTCCGGGACACCCTGGAGTCCTACTAAAGGAGGGCACGCCCCTCCTCCAGACACGAAGGCGCTCCAAGCTTTTTCAGAAAATCAGCCTAACGCACCTTATTAACGGGGAAAGAAAGCCCAAGTGACCTTATCGGTCAAGGCGAAAAGCACTGGCGCAAGGGCGCAGCAAACCCGGCTCGGAAGAGCTCCCCGCGGGCGGTCTGCGAGGCCGAGCTTGGCCCCCGCCTCTCCGGGGGCTCAGCTCGGAACCCCAGCCCCCCCCCCACCCCCCCCCCCTCCGCCCCCCCCCAGGCCTGCCCCTCACACCCCCCCCCGCTGCTCCGGGCTCCCCACCCGCTCCCGGCCTGCCCCGCAGCCCACCCCTCACCCTCGCCCCCCCAGGCCTGCGACCGTTCGGGAACCGCGGTCGCGTTTCGGCACCTCTGGCCCGACAGGTCCGCCGACACCTCGGCGGGAAGCTCGCGCCCCCGGCCAGCGCCGCCCACCCGTCCGCCGCCCACCGCCCGCCGCGCACCCAGGCCGCGGTGAGGCGCCAGCCCGGTCTTCCCCCGGATCTCCTCTTCACACAGAACCAGCCGCCCCGCCGGCGCCATTCTTTCAAACGGCGCACACCTGTCCGCGCCTGCGCGCTGTGGCTGCCGACGGCCGAGGCGCGGGGCCAGGATCCAGGGTGGGACCGGGGGGCGGGGCCAGGGGGCGGATCGAGGCCGAGGGGGCGGGGCGGGGCCAAGGACCTCTGCGGGGTGCGGGGTGCGGGGTGTGAGCAAGCGGACGAAGATGCCGGGAGGAAGCGTTAGGGGAAGTCGGTGCCGGCCCCAGGGCTTACCTGGGGACTCGACGCACTTGGAGACCTCGCATCACCTGGGCCCCTGCCCCACCTGGGGACCCTACCCACCCCCAGATTCGCCTGCGTCCTGGGCTGCGGGCGCCCCAGGCTCTGCGCGAGGGCTCCTCACGTGGGGTCGCAGTGCTCTCCCGCCACGCTCAGGTGGCTCAGCGGCAGCGGGTCCTGCTCTGCCCCCATCCTCAGTTTCTAGGTGATGAAATCTGGGGTCTGGCCTTGACACTCATCAGCTGACCGAGGGGTTCACGGCGTGTCCGGCTCACTGGGCTCTTTGGGGAGCACCTTTAGGGAAGACTTCCCTTACAGTCTGGATCTGCCCCAGCCAGCGCGAGCCCTGGGGGTGCCCCCTCCCTCCCGGGTCACCCCAGAGGGTGCCCCTACTGCCTCTCACCCCAGATTTGACTGGCCTGTGGCAACATCCCCTGGCATGTCACAGCCTGGGTGGTGGCATAGGGAGGTGTAGGTGGGCTTGTAGGGCCAGGGGTGAAGGGCAGGTATAGACACTCAGGGGTGAGGGGCAGTGGTGTAGACAAGGGAAGTATGGCAGAGGGTGTAGGGCAGGGGCGAAGACGGGGGTGTAGGGGAGAGGTATGGGGTATGCGCAGGGGCTGGGGTGGGGGTGGGGGCATCAGGGTGCCTGAGTCTCTCCTGAGCGGAGCGGGGCTTCAAGCCTGCTGCACCAGGCCTGTGGGGCTGTGCCATTTACGGAGGCCGGCAAACACTCAGCGATATTTTGAGTCCGGATTGCCAAGTGACTGCCCACAGTTCCAGGCCACATATTGCCATCATCTCACTTCCTACAAGACCGTGGAGGGACTCGGGCACACCCGAGGCCTGGCATGTGGTCACCAACCAGGTGCCCCCTGAGTGGAGCTGGTGCAGCCAGGAGGCTAGAAACTAAGCAAATATCCCGCTCTCAGAAGTAAACGGAAGCAAACAAAAGGCTTCTGTCGCTGTCCTCCGCCCACCCCCGGCCCCCGAGAAAAACGGCTTGTCAGCAAGGGCACAGCCCACACGCCAAACATCGCTGCTTCCTCCTGCTGCAGGTCACTTCAGGCCGGGCAGCCCAGTCTCAAGTCCTCTACAGCTTTCTAGAACATTCCAGGGAGGCTTCCAGGCCCCTCAGCCTTGAGCCAGAGTCGGGCAGTTCATCCCAGGGTGAAGGCTGGTGACAGAGATGGAGACCCAAGGACAGGCCCACGCCGGTCCCGCGGACTGGGCAGCCAGAGGGGTCCTCCAGGGGCTGGCGGCCTGGAGCATCTTGGACTTCCCCTACTCTTTGACTGGCCTCGGCTGGGAGGGGGTGGGGGCGGGAGGAGCAGGGGCAATCTCCCACCTTCCCCCGGAGAGCAGAGCTGTCCAGGCCCCAGAACCAGAGCGGCTGTGGCGCTGACCACGCGCTCTGGGAACTGCGTGAGCTCTCGTGTCACCACCTCTCCACCCTGGGGTGAACGCCGACACGGTCACTTCATCCACGAGGAAACATCAACCAGCTGGGTGCGACCGGACTGAGAATCAGTGTCAGACCCGAGCCCAGCCCTGGGTTGCTTCTGCACCAGGCCCTCCAAACGGGAGGCAGGGAGCCTCTGGGAGCCTGAAGACAGACCCACACAACCACGGCTCCAGACACCACTGAACTCACACGCGCCCCCGTTCACACTCACACACCCTGACACTCACACATCCTCACAAACCTCCGACAATCGAGCTCCAACTCGGACGACCATTCCCCGGCCGGATGGCAGGAACCCACCCTGGTCCCACGTGAGGCACTGCCCAGAAGCCGGTGCTCTGTGACCTCAGCCTCCACCCTGGACCAAGTGAGAAGCATCTGATCAAGGACAACTGCTCGCTGGTTCTGATGCTTATTCGTTCATAAATGTTGAACGAAAGAGCCTTTTCCCGGCTGTTTTCCTATACAAGATCAGTACCGACATGTGTGACTTGTCAATGCATCATTTTGCCGACTAACCTCTATCCAAAGTGCGACGTGAGACGGAGTGTGAGGACCTTCCTGCGGCTGTTGGAAGGCAAACAGGGGCGAGAGGGGGTGGGGGCTCATGTAAACATCCTACCGTCGTGACTAGTTCATCTGAACACAGAGGACGGGGTTTGTGTTCACCTGAGGGTGTAAACACTTGTATCTAGCTGAGCTACCAGTTAAGATGCAAGTAAAACCCAGCTGGGGCGGGCCTGACGTAAGGACACCCGGCTGGAGTCCCCAAGGTGGGCTGGGCTCAGCTTGGCTGGCTGGCAGCCAAACCTCTGTCCTGGACACTCAGCCATGCAGCTCACTTCCCAAGAGGCAGGTTCCTTCCCGGCTGCGTCCAGCAAAGACTCCTGTTTCCATGCCCTGCCTGCGGAGCCCGTAGCCCGAAGGGTCTCCCGTCCTGCTGGCCTGGGCCATTCCCAGAGCTCGTGAGCCGCCTCCATGCCCAGCGGGGCTTCAGCTGGGAGGAGGAAGCAGAGGCCAGCTCTCCCGCAATTGCTGACCCTAGAAAGCTGAGACTTCTCAGGAAAATGGAAACTTCCCGCTCATTCTGAAAGTAGGGAGGCAGGACAACCGGGCCTGACTTTCTGCACTGCAGCGGCATGGGGCGAGCCGCAGCCACTCACAGGCAGGCCCCGGCTCCATCTGGACAGCCCCTCAGGCACCTACCCCGGAGAAGCAGCACAGGTGGTGCTGGGTGCACCTAGCACCTTCCAGGTGGGAGCTGCCCCTGTGCACACACCTGCCCCTCGCACAACTGCTCACCGACGGGGGGAGATACAGGGATGAGGGGCACACCTCAGCCATGATCCCAGGGTCCCCAGCCCTCCTGAGGACGAGGCCACCTCCATCAGGTCTGGGCACCTGCGGCCTTCTCCCCACCTCTGAGGCTCTGGAGAGTGCAGGGCTCAGGGGCGCTTTGGACCAGGTGGATTATGGCCAAGGTAACCAGGCCTCGGAGGCCTGCTCCCCACCCTGGTCCTTCCCCGCCAGCCTATTTCAGCCGCCCTAACTGCTTCCCGAGAGCTCGCCTGCACTTACCCTGTAGATTCCAATATCGCTCTGCCTGCTGCCGCTACACCGGTTCCTGCTGGACTCGGAGCCCTCACCTGGCCGAGGCTGGCAAGCACACAGCAAGAGGCCAAGCACTGCCATGCTTTTGTGGGTCATTGGTTACATCCACTTTATGGTGGGCAGCATGTGGGACTGAGACCCAGGCATTCAGGTTGAACAGTGCAGCTGGAGGCGGGGCCTGTCGTGAGGGGGGCCAGCCCACCCGTGATCACTCTGAGGGGCCGTGGGCAGGTTCCCTGGCTCTTGTGTCTGGGGCAAGCTGCTCTCGGAACCGAGTCTTCTCATCTCTAGAAAAAAAGTAACAGGGCTCTCGAGGGGATGGGTGGTTCCCAGCCCTCTTCAACCTTGTCTAGTTCCAATGGAGAGGATGGAGAACCTCTTACATCTCTTACAGCTACGGATGGCCACTTCTGGCTGATAAGAAGTAAGCATGAGGCTACAGTGGCATTTTGGGGTAAAGTTTTGATATTCTGGGAAAAGAGATAAGTGTAGGTGACACATGCCAGGCACCCCTTCTTCTTGCCTTGACACAGTTGTGATGGCTGGAGCTGCAGCAGCCATCCTGGGACAATGAGGAGGTAAGAAACTGACATCGCAGAGGTGCCCAACCTGGGCTCCAAACCAGTGCCAGTCCCTGAACCTCCAGCCTCCTGGCTCAGTGAGAAGAGACCAGTGAGGGTGACCATTGCTGCAGCTGAATGCATTCCCACCCGATCCTGGGGTCTGCTGAGGTAGCAGATGAAAAGTGTGTGGCATAGACTGGACCAGTCAAGAATACTCGTAGGACATGGGCCGTAAGGCAGAAGTGTAGCAGCGACTGTGCCAAAGGAAGACTCCCTTTCCACTTGGGGGAGAAAAGACATGGTCCCAGAGGAAGAAGGGGAGGGGGCGTGGAGCCGTGTGTTTCGAGCAGAAGAGTGGGGAGTGAGAGGCCCCCACGTGGCCCCAGGCTCAGTCAGAGAGGAGGAGCCGGACGGGGCAGACCTGTCACTCCCTCTGCCCAGGGGTCCAAGTGTGGCTCCGAGTGGGGGTCCAGCCTGGCTGAGTCCAGGTGCTTCGTGTAGATGATGGAGCAGATCAGGGCGAAGTACAAACAAAACTTGAAACTTAACTAACTGGTTTCCCAACTACAAAGTGAGTGAGAAATCTGAAGCCACCCTCCTGCCCTTTGTCATTTGTAATGATCAACAGTTGAAATAAATAGGGATGCGACCCCCAGCGCGCGGACTAAACCCAGGTAGTATCAGAAAAACAAAAGTGGAAGGAAATCTTTGCCTTCAGGAAGCTTACATTTTACTGGATAGTGTGTACTTGAAAAGGCTATTTTGGGAAAATTTTTGTGAAACTGAAAAATGCGCCCTTCCCCCCAAAGAGTCCATGCAAAACCCTTGGGACCTCTGAATGTTACCTTATATGGCAAAAGGTGAGATTAAGTTAAGGATGTTGGGAGGATTTTATCCTGGATTATCTGGATGGGCCCTGACACAATCACGAGAGATGGAAAAGAAGACACAGATGCTACACACGCTCGGGACCCCACGAGGCAGAGGTTGGCATGATGAGGCCACGAGCCCAGGGACTTCTGGAGCCCCCAGCACCTGGAAGAGGCAGGAAGGACCCTCCCCAAGACCCTGCGGAGGGAGAGTGGCCCTGTGACACAGGTGCCTGTCTGCGTGGTCATGGCG